ATCACAATGAGGTGAGTTTTAAAAGCATGATACTGTTTTGATGATAAGTGTTGTTTGGGATTTTTGATTTCATTTGCATCGATGCCAGTGGTTAGAGGGACAATAGAGCCTTGACTACCAGGCCATTAGGACCTGATGGTCGTTAGCGAGTTGGGTACTACCAAAGCACATCCAACGGTCACATGGAATTTTACTGCGGTCATGACTCTTGACTGCCGGTGTGGCGGTAATACGGTCACCGCAACAGCCCTAATCATAGCTTTCACCTGGATTCACCTGGTCAGTCTGTCATGGAAAGAGCAGGTGTTCTTAATGGTTTGTTAACTCGGTGTGTATTATGTGCAGTGTGAGTCTTTATGTATAGGTGTAGGCAGTGCACCCATCCCCCTGGCCCTGTTGTGGTCTGCCTCATTATCACAGTGTCCCGTGTATATGCAGTAGAAGCAGCACCTTCCATAGGGGTAGAGGGAGGGGCTGGGGCTGGGCCGTATATCTCCCCCAGCAGTGAGCCGTCAGCAGAGTAGAGGAGAGGCCTAATGTGAATTGATCCAGCCCTCCTGCTACCAGGCAGAGGAAGAGGGGGTGCTCCTCCGATTTGTTTGGCTAACGTTTGTGTTCGCTCTATGTTTGGCCAACGTTTGTGTTCGCTCTGTTTGGCCAACGTTTGTGTTCGCTCTATGTTTGGCCAACGTTTGTGTTCGCTCTGTTTGGCCAACGTTTGTGTTCGCTCTATGTTTGGCCAACGTTTGTGTTCGCTCTGTTTGGCCAACGTTTGTGTTTGCTCTGTTTGGCCAACGTTTGTGTTCGCTCTATGTTTGGCCAACGTTTGTGTTCGCTCTGTTTGGCCAACGTTTGTGTTCGCCTGCCTCCCCTCAGACTGGGCTGTTTACTCTATCCCCTGGAACATGACATAAAGAGAGTCACCCTCTCCCTCCCCAGGGTTAAGCCTAATGATGCATGGTTATCTCAGTGGAGAGGGAGGTTCTCTATAGGTTGGTTCACTCGGCCAAACCTCCAACTGTACCGTTTTCATGGTAGTTATAGCATGCACTGCCACCATGGCAACAGCTTACCAGTCACTGTTGGCATGGTTACAGGTTACAATTCTGTAAAGGGAGAGTGAGAGACGGAAGGAGAAAGGAGAGAAAAAGGAATGGAGCTGCTATGTGCTTGCTGATGAAAGTAATAGCAAAGGAAGGAATTAGAGCTTTCCAACAACCCCCTCGTCTCCCCTCTCACCCCCCCCCCCCCTCTCCCCTCTCAACCCAGTCCCTCCCTCCTCCCCCCTCTCACCCTCCCATCCTCCCCCCCTCTCACCCTCCCATCCTCCCCCCTCCCATCCTCCCCCTCCCATCCTCTCCCCTCTCACCCTCCCATCCTCTCCCCTCTCACCCCAGTCCCTCCTCTCCCCTCTCACCCTCCCATCCTCTCCCCTCTCACCCCAGTCCCTCCTCTTCCCTCTCACCCCAGTCACTCCTCTCCTCTCCCCTCTCACCCATCACTCCTCTCCTCTCCCTTCTCACCCATCACTCCTCTCCTCTCCCTTCTCACCCCCCGCCCTCCTCTCCTCTCCCCTCTCACCCCCCGCCCTCCTCTCCTCTCCCCTCTCACCCCCCGCCCTCCTCTCCTCTCCCCTCTCACCCCCGCCCTCCTCTCCTCTCCCCTCTCACCCCCGCCCTCCTCTCTCCTCAACCCATTTCCTCCTCTCACCCTAGTCCTTCCTCTCCTCTTCCCTCTGTGAAGCTCTTTGTGTTCCTGTGCTGGAGAGAGAGGTGTGTTTACACATGCATGATGCAGTCACACATAATAGCTACTTGCTCGTGATCTGATCACTCTCCCAGTGTGGAGTGGAGGTGGTGGACTACTTTAACCCTATCAGTCCCGAGACCCCAGCTAAATCTGCTTGTTCAGCCCTTATATTTAGCCTCACAATTAAGTGTTGTACCATTTTCTTTTCAGGACAACCAGGTCTATAAGTAGAACACAAAACAATTTGACATACAGTTGCATTCATAAGTTTTATTGACAAATGTCAATGAAAAGTACCGTAATGTTTGTTCAGTGGGAAATTAATATCCAACTAGTCAGTGACAACTGTTTGGAGTTTGTGACAGCAACTATGTGAGCTTATTACAGCATTATAGACACTAGGTCCTTGGATTTCCTATGATCTTCTAATTAGGAGAACCCCTTACCTTCTAACGACTCTTGTGTAGCTTGTGAGTGCCATATAGCAAAACGTGTGCTCATGAGTCTCAGCTTTTCATAGATAGCTTTTAATAGTTTGTAGCTCAAACCATTCTGACGTTTTTGTAAAAAGACCCGACCCCTTCAGGATCCTCCGTCTCACAAACACTGCTCTAACTCAGACCCTTTTAATCACACAGACTAATGGTTGGTACCAGAAGAAATAGACGAATCCAATGGTACAAACAAGAAGTCTGTAGCTCAAACACACAATGTTTAAAAGGGGTTGGAAGTCCAAATCACGCCGGCAACGTGGTGGGACTAATTGGGTTAACCGGCAGGTAACAGTTCAAAGGGCATGGAAATATAGTACACACAGACTACTCATGTACTCTAACCCAGTGGATCCCAACCTTATTTCAACCGTGGCACACCTAAAATATCCCTATTCATTTATTTAGTTGTAATGACCTCCATCTCATCTGATCCATACTGCAAATCATCTATTTTCTGTGACAAATATTATATATATTTTTTAGCTCCGGTAAAATAGGTATTTCGTTTTGAACTGAGCTGGAGACGAGGGATTTTCTGCATTGTAAAGGTGCGACCACGGACACAAAGCCATGCTCCGTTTGTTTCTATGGCAGAGGCTGTGGTTCAGCTAAGCCTAATCAGACTTGCCAGTGCTAGTGGTTCTCGCAGGCGAAGTCAAATAATGATGCGCGCCCCTCAAATGATACAGATAACAACAGGCTGAGCGTACTGGACTTGAAACAATGATACAGATGTAACCATGTGCCATCCAATGTATTATCTGAGCGGCACTGGTGCTGCCAAGTCAAAATTGAATGTGCATTCCACAGGTCACGTTTATAAGTGAGTTCTTTAAAAAAAATCAAGATTAGGAAAAGTTTTGCGGCACGCTTAAGAGTTCCTCAAGGCACACCGCGGCACACCGGTTGAAAACCTCTCTCCTTCTCTCCCTGACTCACTACTGTACCTATCCCCAAAGGCTGGGAGACAAAAGGCCGTCCTGCCACATCCATCTTCTCTCGCTCTCTCGCTTTTTATTTCTCTCTCCCCCTCTCCAGGTCTACCGGGAAATGGAACAGTGCTTTATACCATCACAGATGTCCCCTTCAAAACACTTAAGATTTTAAAATGGATATGCTCTGTGTTATCACGTTGGGGCCAGCATGCAGTTCCTCTAACTATCTGGATCACTTCAGTACATCATGTTCTGAATGGAAACTGTCCTTAATATCCGTAGGGGACAGTACATTATTTGAGGAAAGGAGAGGGTAGTGAGTGGACTGTGGTAGTGGACTAGACACTCTAAAGGGGAAGCAGGTTTGTAATAATTTCCAGTCAGCTGTTTAACAGAGAAAAGCTTTGTGTCTGAAAGCAGATGAAACATTACCCTGTCTTGTCCATGTGCTATGTTAGTGATTGCAGAGGGAGCGAGAGGGACCAGTACTTACTTATTTTTAACAACAGGGTTTGTTATTGTTATTATTATTTTGTTGTAGTGATTGGATATAAAGCCGGTGGGATGCTCTTATCTCTCACTAGGCTGACTCCCCCTCCTCCCTATCTCCCCCTCTCCCCTCCTCCCCCTCTCCTTTCCTCCCGCCCCTCCGGGGTGACAGATTGACGGGCGGAACCTAAGCGTTTGAGCCCAACCTCGGCTACAACTGTGTCGCCATGGTGATGCAGCCCTGTGCTGCGTTGAATTTGTAATATTCCTGGGGCGAGACACACAACCCAATAAAAACAAAACTGGCAGACAAGGGAAAACTGTTAATGAAAAATTCTGCTTTTAGTGCAGACGAAACAGAGTGAAAGAAAGCATTCTGTCAGCATGGTGTGTGAATCATACCAACACGTTTGAGAATAATGGCATGTTGTAACTGGGATAAATAGCCTAGTCTCTGGTCTAGCCAGTGGTATGGGATGCATCTAAAATACTGACATCATAAACTGTCTTTTGGGTGAGTTTCAATGTGTTTGTTTTGTAAATAGCTGTTTTGTTGTTATATCAGACTTTCATATAATGGTTTATTATTTTTTCCTTGTAAAATAAGGACGTGCATGATACTGGTTTCCACTGCGGCCCTAGTTCCGAGGTTCTACAATGGCTTTTGTGGTTCTATAGCAGTCTTGTACTGAAATCCACAGAATGACTGTAAGCGTCTGCTAAATGGCATATTAATACATATGACTCACAGCTGTCATGTTGAAGAGAGGTGTAGTGTTGCATCCTATGATTACTAACATACAACAGCTCTGCTCTGCCACGTTTCGCTGATTCATCCTTCCTGTCCCGTCCCAGCCCCCGTCCCGTCCCAGACCCCTGTCCCGTCCGGCTCACGTAGCCTAGGTTATCTATCTGGGGGTAGAACAGAACAGGGCTGTCTGGTGCAGAACCGAGTGGAAAAGGGGAGACCGGATGATCAACAACCATGTCGCCTCCCTCCTGATCCTGCTCAAATGTCCTGTAAATGTTATGGTTGCTAACGTCAGTCTCCTGCACATCTCACCCGACCTTTTGTCTCTAAAAGTTATAGTGCAGACACGCTGTTCTGTTCCCAACAACTTATTCAACAAATTATAAACACCTAAAAGTAGGAATCAACTAGGCCTGCTCAGTTGAATTTAAAAATGTAGATTAAAATCTGCATTGACTTCTTCTAGCTTGGAATACCAACATGATGCTATCATTATATCATTTTTGTGTTTTTGTTTTCCTTTTTTTGTTCTGTTTTACTTGTGGTTCTGGCGACATTGTCTATCAGTCGACATCTCAAAAAATGCTGGTAAGTTATTTTCAAACAGCTCTAAGATTGATGCACTCCTTTTGATTTTTTTTGGGGGGGGGGGGTTTGGTTTATGATTTTATCAGTTAAGCTGACTCTTGACTCCTTGTGCACATTTGGAGCCTTGGCCTTCTTGTTGGTCACATTTCATCCACCCACTAAACCTCCCATTGGGTCCTGGGTTAAGGTTATGATTTGGGGAGGAGGTGAGTTTGGGTCAGGATAAAGAACCCTGGGATACGTACCCACTTCTGTGTTCCTGATTTCACCTTATTGCCTGCTTATTACCGGGGCCAACATACTTCCCCTCACTCTGTCTGCAGCTGCTCCTGTAATGCCATACTGTGACTTCACCCTGCCATCCTATAGCTTGAGTTACACCTTTTGTCCTTGTTTTGGACTCGGTCGTTGTCTACTTTGCTGTTGTAATTATAAGGTGCATGTGACGAAAGCTTGTTTTTTTTTGCATTTTGGTAATTTTGTCCAAACCAAATAAGAGTTGTAAATTATCTATGGGTGGACAATTTACACAGTTCCTTATTAATTGTGTAATCAGTGGAAAGCAGGAAAAAATTTAAATGTTTGTTGTGCACTCTTCATTGGCATGTTTTGTCTCATTATTTTGTTCACTATTCTCCAGTCATACTTTTTCCTCACCTGGAAAGTATATCTGAAGGGGAATGGGGTCCTTTTTCCTGCTACCTCTTAATTCACTGTCTGGTTGTGACACATGTATTTAGTCTCTGATACCCACTCAATGCACGGTCGCTAGACTAACTCCTGTCTCTGGGAATTACATTGACGGCTCATCTGTGTTCTGTTGATAGAACTCCAATACTGCGGTCTCTGCCATGATGTTTCCTTTTCTCTTGAGCTCCTCCTTCAGTTTGTTGTTTCGTCTGTGTTTGATTGAAATCAGCCACTGCTTCTTCACAACAAACGTAGCTAGCTAAATTTCACGATTTACCAGAATCACAGTTGTAGGACAGCCCAAAAAAAAACAGGCACCGAAGCACCAATTTCTTGTGTTGTGTTGGCAGCAGCCAGCTCTAGCTGACTCTGAAATGTAGAGTACTCTGCTCAAGCAGAGACAGCTGAGAGAGGCTTTCACATGGCTGCTCTGAGGGAAGCCATTGATTCACATTTTTGGTCCAGCTTGAGTTGGCAGTTCCCTAATTGCACTAATTATTTTCAATGAGGTGATGTAATCTATTTGACTATTCAGTGGGAAGACGGAGTCTGTGAGATGAGATGCACATCATTTAGGTTGCGCGTGCGGACACACCCACACAGCCTCCGTCTGGAAATCAATAACCAAAGACAAGCGAGTAAATCTGAAAGGATATAAAAGCAGTCATGTAGCCCAGGCTAGCCCACTGGTTTTTCGCCTGAAGTATTAACTATAATGATCCCAATGATACTTTCCTCCCAGATCAGCTCTTTATGTTGCTGACTCTGGTTCAGAGCTCATTGCAGTTCTGTTTCAGTGAACCTCCTCCGGATAAATGTTCCATCCTCCTGAGTCCACTCCTCCCCATCTGGGATCTCCCATCAACCTCTCTCCCCAGAGAGACACTCTCATATATATGCTAGCACTGAGGAGCGGTGCTAACGCGCTTTAAGTGTGGTAATGGGCATCCTGCTCTTGCCCAGTAGGAGGTGTTTTGTCAGTTAGAAAGTGTAGTCTGAGATGTCCTTGTCTTATTCTGATCATTCTCTCTCTCCTTTCTCTCCTGTAGTCCACCCCTCTCCACCTGGCAGCAGGGTACAACCGGGTCAGAATAGTACAGCTCCTACTACAGCACGGTGCCGACGTACATGCAAAGGACAAAGGGTAAGTGTGTTCGTTGTTTGCGTGTGCTTTAGGGTGAATGTTACGTTGGCATGTCCCCCCCCCCCCCCCCCCCCCCCCCCAATGTTTCTGGAATGTTGAGTTCACACTTTGCTCAGGCACTTCATTGACCTCCTTACCTAATTAACTGAGTTGTTAATTACACAGATATACAACGTCTGTTTTGTATGTGAAATAATGTTGTCTATGCGTGCTCCTCTCCCTCAGGGGTCTGGTTCCTCTCCATAATGCCTGTTCATATGGTCACTACGAAGTCACAGAGCTTCTGCTGAAGGTAAGAAACTCAGCATTTCTCCTTGTCTCTGCTGCTTTTTGTGTATACTGGTATGCTTGTTATGGTGTGGATATGAAACTCATTTGGTAGAGCATGGAGCTTGTCACGCCAGGGTAGTGGGTTCGATTCCTGGGATCACCCATACTTAAAATGTATACACACATGACTGTAAGTCGCTTTGGATAAAAGCGTCTGCTAAATGGGCCCCGTGTAGCTCAGTTGGTAGAGCATGGCGCTTGCAACGCCAGGGTTGTGGGTTCGATTCCCACGAGGGGCCAGTATGAAAAATGTATGCACTCACTAACTGTATGTCGCTCTGGATAAGACCGTCTGCTAAATGACTAAAATGTAAATGTAAATGTCATATATTATTATATATTATGAAAGTGAGAATCCTTTAGCACAGAGTCTATAGAGACCATCATAGCACTGAGACTGCACTTGTGAAGGTGGTAAATTACCTTTTAATGGCGTCAGACCGAGGCTCTGCATCTGTCCTCGTGCTACTAGACCTTAGTGCTGCCTTTGACACCATCGATCACCACATTCTTTTGGAGAGACTGGAAACCCAAATTGGTCTACACGGACAAGTTCTGGCCTGGTTTAGATCTTACCTGTCGGAAAGATATCAGTTTGTCTCTGTGAATGGTCTGTCCTCCGACAAATCAACTGTACATTTCGGTGTTCCTCAAGGTTCCGTTTTAGGACCACTATTGTTTTCACTATATATTTTACCTCTTGGGGATGTTATTCGAAAACATAATGTTAACTTTCACTGCTATGCGGATGACACACAGCTGTACATTTCAATGAAACATGGTGAAGCCCCAAAATTGCCCTCGCTAGAAGCCTGTGTTTCAGACATAAGGAAGTGGATGGCTGAAAACTTTCTACTTTTAAACTCGGACAAAACAGAGATGCTTGTTCTAGGTCCCAAGAAACAAAGAGATCTTCTGTTAAATCTGACAATTCATCTTGATGGTTGTAAAGTCGTCTCAAATAAAACTGTGAAGGACCTCGGCGTTACTCTTGACCCTGATCTCTCTTTTGACGAACATATCAAGACTGTTTCAAGGACAGCTATTTTCCATCTACGTAACATTGCAAAAATCAGACATTTTCTGTCCAAAAATGATGCAGAAAAATTAATCCATGCATTTGTTACTTCTAGGTTAGACTACTGCAATGCTCTACTTTCCGGCTACCCGGATAAAGCACTAAATAAACTTCAGTTAGTGCTAAATACGGCTGCTAGAATCCTGACTAGAACCAAGAAATTTGATCATATTACTCCAGTGCTAGCTTCCCTACACTGGCTTCCTGTTAAGGCAAGGGCTGATTTCAAGGTTTTACTGTTAACCTATAAAGCGTTACATGGGCTTGCTCCTACCTATCTTTCCGAGTTGGTCCTGCCGTACATACCAATACGTACGCTACGGTCACAAGACGCAGGCCTCCTAATTGTCCCTAGAATTTCTAAGCAAACAGCGGGAGGCAGGGCTTTCTCCTATAGATCTCCATTTTTATGGAACAGTCTGCCTACCCATGTGAGAGACGCAGACTCGGTCTCAACCTTTAAGTCTTTACTGAAGACTTATCTCTTCAGTAGGTCATATGATTGAGTGTAGTCTGGCCCAGGAGTGTGAAGGTGAACGGAAAGGCTCTGGAGCAACGAACAGCCCTTGCTGTCTCTGCCAGGCCGGTTCCCCTCTCTCCACTGGGGTTCTCTGCCTCTAACCCTGTTACAGGGGCTGAGTCACTGGCTTGCTGGTGCTCTTTCATGCCGTCCCTAGGAGGGGTGCGTCACTTGAGTGGGTTGAGTTACTGACGTGATCTTCCTGTCTGGGTTGGCGCCCCCCCTTGGTTTGTGCTGTGGTGGAGACCTCTGTGGGCTATACTCGGCCTTGTCTCAGGATTGTAAGTTGGTGGTTGAGGATATCCCTCTAGTGGTGCGGGGGCTGTGCTTTGGCAGAGTGGGTGGGGTTATATCCTTCCTGTTTGGCCCTGTCCGGGGGTTTCTTCGGATGGGGCCACAGTGTCTCCGGACCGCTCCTGTCTCAGCCTCCAGTATTTATGCTGCAGTAGTTTATGTGTCGGGGGGCTGGGGTTAGTTGGTTATACCTGGAGTACTTCTCCTGTCTTATCCAGTGTCCTGTGTGAATTTAAGTATGCTCTCTCTAATTCTCTCGTTCTCTCTTTCTCTCTGAGAACCTGAGCCCTAGGACCATACGTCAGGACTACCGGGCATGCTGACACCTTGCTGTCCCCAGTCCGCCTGGCCTTGCTGCTATTCCAGTTTCAACTGTTCTGCCTGCGGTTACGAAACCCCTACCTGTCCCAGACCTGCTGTTTTCAACTCTAAATGATCGGCTATGAAAAGCCAACTGAGAGACCTGAGCCCTAGGACCATACGTCGGGACTACCGGCCGTGGTGACTCCTTGCTGTCCCCAGTCCGCCTGGCCTTGCTGCTATTCCAGTTTCAACTGTTCTGCCTGCGGTTATGGAACCCCTACCTGTCCCAGACCTGCTGTTTTCAACTCTTAATGATCGGCTATGAAAAGCCAACTGAGATTTATTCCTGATTATTATTTGACCATGCTTGTCACTTATGAACATTTTTGAACATCTTGACATGGTTCTGTTATAATCTCCACCCGACACAGCCAGAAGAGGACTGGCCACCCCTCATAGCCTGGTTCCTCTCTAGGTTTCTTCCTAGGTTTTGGCCTTTCTATGGAGTTTTTCCTAGCCACCGTGCTTCTACACCTGCATTACTAGCTGTTTGGGGTTTTAGGCTGGGTTTCTGTACAGCACTTCGAGATATTAGCTGATGTACGAAGGGCTATATAAAATAAAATTGATTGATTGATTGACCTCAAATTCAACTCTGGACCACAAAGCCAGTTCCACTGGGTTTTTTTTTCTCCGTTGTTCGCCTCTAACCAGGGACTGATTTTTGCCCTAATAATCAGGTAGAACAGAAAAGCAGCAGGCTCCAGACCTCGTAGGGTAAGAGTTGAATACCCCTGGTATAGAGGATCCTGAGAAAGCCTTTATTTTGTCAGGTGTTTTCAGAGGGATTCTTAGCAGCTCTGTCACTGTCTGAAAAATCTGTCTGGGTTCCTTTGACAGAACACTCAGACAAACATACTTTTTACACTTCCTCTCTGAGTTGGTCTTTAAGCTGAAGTCTCAGGACTGACTGGCTAGTCTAAGGGAAGCCCTCATCACTCACCTGATGTTTGATGTCAGATATCACGTCAGTGCTGCTGTAACACCTGGGTTGTGACACCTCAACGAAAAGTTTAGCGTAATCTTTGCTCTTATTGGACTAGTTCAGGTTTCAAAACATTGTTGCAAAAATATATTTTCACCTACCTGCCACTTTCTTTCCTTTACAATATCGATCGCGTCTAACAGCCCTCTCTGTTTCCTGTAGCATGGAGCGTGTGTTAACGCCATGGACCTGTGGCAGTTCACCCCTCTCCACGAGGCTGCCTCGAAGAACCGCGTGGAGGTGTGTTCTCTGCTGCTGAGCCACGGGGCCGACCCCTCCCTGGTCAACTGTCACGGGAAGAGCGCTGTGGACATGGCCCCCACCCCGGAGCTTAAAGAGAGACTCACTTGTGAGAACAGCATCTTCTCTCTCTCACTCACACACACACACATACACACAAACACACTGACACAAACTGACACACAGGCTCACACAATACACTCACATGCATACAAACATGGTCACACTGGCGTTATAGTTTGTCCTTCCAGTAAAATGTTTTGGGTTGTGTATGTAACTGTTTGGATGACATCATCTTTCTCTCTGCCCTGTGTGTAGATGAGTTTAAGGGTCACTCTCTGCTCCAGGCAGCGCGGGAGGCAGACATGGCCAAGGCCAAGAAGACCCTCGCTCTAGAGATCATCAACTTCAAACACCCACAGACCCACGAGACGGCACTGGTGAGACATACACACCTCACACACACCACTCACACACACACCACATACACACACACCACTCACACACAGCACACACACACACACCACACACACCACACAGGGCTACAGTGTTAAATGAACTCCTTTTGTGTTGCAGCACTGTTCAGTGGCCTCTCCTCACCCCAAGCGGAAGCAGGTCACAGAGCTGCTGTTACGTAAAGGTGCCAACGTCAATGAGAAGAACAAGGAGTGAGTGTCTTCCTGTTTACCTGACCTCTGTCTGACCTCTTTCTGAACTCATCCCCTAACCACTTTCATGTCATGACTATGTGGACTCAAACCTGTGTGTCTCTGCAGCTTCATGACTCCCCTACACGTGGCTGCTGAGAGGGCACACAATGACATCATGGAGGTGTTACAGAAACATGGAGCGAAGGTACAGTATTCCCCTCACCCATCCTCAGCCATCCATCCCTTCACCCATCCTCAGCCATCATCCCTTCACCCATCCTCAGCCATCATCCCTTCACCCATCCATCCCTTCACCCATCCTCAGCCATCTATCCCTTCAGCCATCCATCCCTTCACCCATCCTCAGCCATCATCCCTTCACCCATCCTCAGCCATCATCCCTTCACCCATCCTCAGCCATCATCCCTTCACCCATCCATCCCTTCACCCATCCATCCCTTCACCCATCCTCTACTGGTCTTGCTAGTTGTACCAGCAAAGACGGTCAGGTTCAATGGGAAACACCTAATCAAGAGTGTAAATCTGAGCCATTTGAGTGAACTCAGACCCTGGGAGGCATGATGTTTCTCTAACTGACTACCTAAAGGCAGAGAGATCGGTCTCCCCAGTGTCCGGGTGGCAATCTGAAGTTTCCTGTTTTGGAGCTGAATCGCTTATAGTATTACTTAATGCACCGACAGGACGGACAGCGGGAAAAGACTGTCTGGCCAATCAACGGTCTGGTTCTGAGAGCTCCATCAGATAAGAATGACCTGATGTATGGAGTGTTCAGAGCCTGCCATTCCCTGAAGATCTCACCTTAACAGGCTGTCCTTCTCTGATGCAGGCCTGGGGCAAGACACACACCAGTTCTACGCTGTTTAAAAGCCAGACAGCCACTAAAGAGAATCCTCTTGATACCTTTCCTTGATAGAGTTATTTCAATAGCGGGAGTGTTGTATGTTTTATATTGCTTTCTAAAGAAACATGGCGGAGACAGACATAAGAGAGGCTCTTTGGTGCTTTTGACAGCAGCGTTCGTTGAGCAGCTATCCAGAAAAGAGAAGCCTCTACACACAGTGGCACTTTAACTGTCATGTCTGGCTTGTCCTTTCAAAGTCACGAGTGCAGGTAGCTATCCCCCACAGAGACCCAGCACTACTTAGCTGGGTAGGGAGCATGACAGAGGGAACAGACATCCAAAGTAAACAGTATTCACCTCACCCATCCATCCCTTCAGCCATCCATCCCTTAACCCATCCTCAGCCATCCATCCCTTCACCCATCCTCAGCCATACATCCCTTCACCCATCCTCAGCCATCCAAAGTAAACAGCTGTGCGTGCCTGACTGCCTGCCTGGCTGAGCAGTTAACAAACACAGTCGAGCAGAGCCTAGTATTGGAGTTTTGCTGCTGCGCTCAGATCAGTGTCTCTGTGGGGAGCTGTGCTGTGTGTTGTTCCAAGCAGAGCCTCCCCTTTCATTAGAGTTGTACGATCAGTAATTCATCGAAATGAGGACATCCCAGGAGCTAAGAGAAACTAAAACGGTGCTGAATAAATACAAGTCTGTCAGGAAGCAAACTCAGACATGCACACACTTTTAGACACTTGTGCAGGCAGACAAGCATACATTTACACACGTATACATTTACACACATACAAATGCACTAGACCTCCCAAAAACACACACACACACAAAATGGATGTGCACACAAACACACACAGACACACACAGACACAATAGCACACATTTCCACACTATCTCTCCCAGTTCCTGCTCAGGGCTGATAGTCTCTGAAGAGCTCTAGTAGCTTTGGGGGCTCATCTGATTAATTAATGTTTGTGTTCGTTTCAAAACGGGGAAATTCACTCTCACAGCACATCTCAATCCCCACAACCCCTCTCCTCACTCACTTATTCCCTCACTCCCAGATGAATGCGCTGGACACCCTGGGCCAGACGGCCCTGCACCGTGCTGCCATGGCAGGACACCTCCAGACCTGTAGATTGCTGCTGAGCTACGGCGCAGACGCCTCCATCCTCTCACTACAGGGATTCACTGCCTCACAAATGGGCAACGAGGCCGTGCAGCAGATACTCAGTGGTACGGAGAGAGAGGGAGAGAGACAGCAAGAGAGAGAATATATGTGTATGCTTGCGTTTGTGTGTGCCTGACTGAATATGTGTGGATCAGTGGAGGCTGCTGAGGGGAGGACGGCTCATAATAATGGCTGGAAAGGAGCTAATGGAATGGCATCAAACACATGGAAACCACGTGTTTGATGTATTTGATACCATTCCACTGATTCCGCTCCAGCCATTACCACGAGCCTGTCCTCCCTAATGAAGGTGCCACCAGCCTCCTGTGGTGTGTGTTGGGATAGCTTTATCCCCTCTCCATTCTCTTCAGACAGGCTTCTTTTTTTCTCCACCAGAAAATGTTCCAGTGAGGAACTCTGATGTAGACTATCAACTCCTGGAGGTAGCTAAAGCTGGAGACCTGGACACTGTGAAGGTAGGATTCTCATTTAAGTGTGTGTGCGTGCGTCTGTGTGGTCCTTACTAGCTGGCATAGCTAGCTGACTCACAAGAAAAAGAAGGCTAATACACAAGCTTACATGACATGCACAGGACCCGTTGATATGGAAACAGTTATTTGATTTTCTACTACTCCTTGTCTTGGTGTGTGAACTCACTGGACTGCTTCGCCTTCAACTCACAACCTGCACTCAGGGGTAGACGTAACATAGTAAAGGTCATTCCGGGACACTCCAATTAGTATGATATGTTATGTTTCGTATGATATGTATTAATTTGTGGATATCCATCATCCATTTCGTATGATACAGTGGCTTGTGAAAGTATTCACCCCCCTTGGCATTTTTCCTATTTTGTTTTACTCTCACAGCACAGCTCAATCCCCACAACCCCTCTCATCACTCACTCATTCCCTCACTCCCAGATGAATGCGCTGGACACACCTTACAACCTGGAATTAAAATGTTTTTTTTTTGGGGGGGGGGGGGGGGGGGGGGGGGGGGGTTGTGGGGATTGGGGGGGGGGGGGTTGTATCATTTGATTTACAGAACATGCCTACCACTTTGAAGATGCAAAATATTTTTTATTGTGAAAAACAAGAAATAAGACAAAAAAACAGAACTTGAGCGTGCGTAACTATTCACCCCCCCAAAGTCAATACTTTGTAGAGACACCTTTTGCAGCAATTACAGCTGCAAGTCTCTTGTGGTATGTCTATAAGCTTGGCACATCTAGCCACTGGGATTTTTGCCCATTCTTCAAGGCAAAACTGCTCCAGCTCCTTCAAGTTGGATGGGTTCCGCTGGTGTACAGCAATCTTTAAGTAATACCACAGATTCTCAATTGGATTGAGGTCTGGGCTTTGACTAGGCCATTCCAAGACATTTAAATGTTTCCCCTTAAACCACTCGAGTGTTGCTTTAGCAGTATGCTTAGGGTCATTGTCCTGCTGGAAGGTGAACCTCCGTCCCAGTCTCAAATCTCTGGAAGACTGAAACAGGTTTCCCTCAAGAATTTCCCTGTATTTAGCGCCATCCATCATTCCTTCAATTCTGACCAGTTTCCCAGTCCCTGCCGATGGAAAACATCCCCACAGCATGATGCTGCCACCACCATGCTTCACTGTGGGGATGGTGTTCTCGGGGTGATGAGAGGTGTTGGGTTTGCGCCAGATATAGCGTTTTCCTTGATGGCCAAAAAGCTACATTTTAGTTTCATCTGACCAGAGTACCTTCTTCCATATGTTTGGGGAGTCTCCCACATGCCTTTTGGCGAACACCAAACGTGTTTGCTTATTTTTTTCTTTAAGCAATGGCTTTTTTCTGGCCACTCTTCGGTAAAGCCCAGCTCTGTGGAGTGTATGGCTTAAAGTGGTCATATGGACAGATACTCCAATCTCCGCTGTGGAGCATTGCAGCTCCTTCAGGGTTATGTTTGGTCTCTTTGTTGCCTCTCTGATTAATGCCCTCCTTGCCTAGTCCGTGAGTTTTGGTGGGCGGCTCTCTCTTGGCAGGTTTGTTGTGGTGCCATATTCTTTCAATTTTTTAATAATGGATTTAATGGTGCTCCGTGGGATGTTCAAAGTTTCTGATATTTTTTTATAACCCAACCCTGATCTGTACTTCTCCACTTTGTCCCTGACCTGTTTGGAGAGCTCCTTGGTCTTCATGGTGCCGCTTGCTTGGTGGTGCCCCTTGCTTAGTGGTGTTGCAGACTCTGGGGCCTTTCAGAACAGGGGTGTATATATACTGAGATCATGTGACAGATCATGTGACACTTATATTGCACACAGGTGGACTTTATTTAACTAATTATGTGACTTCTGAAGGTAATTGGTTGCGCCAGATCTTATATAGGGGCTTCATAGCAAAGGGGGTGAATACATATGCACACACCACTTCTCCGTTATTTATTTATTAGTTTTTTTTTCATTTCCCTTCACCAATTTGGACTATTTTGTGTATGTCCATTACATGAAATCCAAATAAATATCAATTTCAATTACAGGTTGTAATGCAACAAAATAGGAAAAATGCCAAGGGGGGTGAATACTTTTGCAAGGCACTGTATGTTAAGAATTGCCATTTGTACAATATATTACAATTATTTTGTATGATATTTTACGAATTACAATTATTATGATATGTTACGAATTGCAATTCGTGCCATGTTACGAATTTGCACAACGTATGATATGTTACGAATCCAATTTGATGTGACTAACAATAGCTAGGTGGCTAACGCTAATGTTAGCTAGGTGGCTAATGTTAGCTAGGCTAGGGCTTAGGGTTTAAGGTTAGGGTTAAGGTTAGGAGGGTTAAGGTGAGGGGAAGGGTTGGCTAACATGCTAAGTAGTTTCAAAGTAGCTAAAAAGTAGTTGCAAAGTTGCTAATTCGCTTAAATGCTAAAGTTGTCTGTGATACGATTCAAACACGCAACCTTTGGGTTGATAGACGTTTGCGTTATACGCCCACCCTTCCACCCCACTTTCATTTATGCCTTAAGTAACCTTCAGTCATATGCAACCACACCAAACGTAACATACTGACTGTATCATACTAATTTGAGTGTCCCGGATTTATGTTTACTAAGTTATGTCTAGTCTATGAGACCAGGCTGCATCTCAAGATATTGTGAAAATGTTTAGAAAATGTGCCAGTTTCACCTCGGCTGCTTTTTCAGGTTTGATTTGATCTGCCTGTGCTGCTGTTAACTGAATGTTAGAATGTTAACTGAGTGTGTTTCTCTTTAGACCCCCCCCCCCCCCCCCCTTTGCGCATCCATGCATGTGTCTTTCTCTGCAGACATCCTGTCCTCCTTAGAATGTAAACTGAGTGTTTCTCTTTTTCCACTCTCGCTCACTCTCTCTGCAGACTGCCTATGCTGCTGTCAGAATGTAAACCGATTCTCTCTTTCTCTCTCTCGCTTCTTGCAGTCATTGTGCTCTCCACAGAATGTGAATTGTCGGGACCTGGAGGGTCGTCACTCCACGCCGCTGCACTTCGCTGCCGGCTACAACCGTGTGGCGGTGGTGGAGTACCTGCTGCATCATGGGGCCGACGTCCATGCTAAAGACAAGGGGTGAGTCTTTGGCTGGCTGGCTGGCTTGATGGCTAGCTGGCTGGCTTGATGGCTAGCTGGCTGACTGACTATCTGTCTGGCCGGCTGGCTGGCTGACTGACTATCTGTCTTTCTTTCTCACTCCCTATCTGTCTGTCTGTAGCTGTCTATTAGCTCAGGAATCTATATCTGTCCATCACATATCTCTACAGTGCTTTCATCTTCTCTGCTCCACTGCTCCTTCACCCCCCAGATGATATAGAATCTCTATCAAATATGTTATGTCTCTGTAGTGTGCCCTCAGGCTACATCTCTAATATTAGACCCTAGACATTACACAGTAGGAGAGGCTCATCTTATAACCCTCCCTCCTCCTCTCTCTCCCCCCTTCTGACTTTCTCACGCTCTCTCCCCTTCTGTCTCTATCTCTCTCTCTCCATTGATTTATCTCTCTCCATCTCTTTCAATCCGTCTCTTTCTCTCTGTCTCTCTCTACAGAGGTCTGGTGCCCCTGCACAACGCCTGTTCCTATGGTCACTATGAGGTGGCTGAGTTGCTGGTGAGACACGGGGCGTCGGTGAACGTGGCAGACCTGTGGAAGTTCACTCCTCTCCATGAGGCTGCAGCCAAGGGCAAATACGAGATCTGCAAGCTGCTCCTCAAGGTACTGTACACCACGGACCTCAGGCCTGTGGGACTCTAGAACAGAGTTTGTCTGTCAAAATGTCTCTGGAGGCTATCACACGCCTTCTCAACCCCTCTCTCTCTCTCTCTCTCTGTCTCTCTCTCTCTCTCTCTCTCTCTCTCTCGCTCTGTCTCTCTCCCTCTCTGTCTCGCTCTCGCCTCTCTCTCTGTCTCGCTCTCGCTCTCTCTTCGGTTCGCTCTCGCTCTCTCTCTCTCTGTCTCGCTATCTCTCATCTCTCTCTCTCTCTTGCTCTTGTCTCTCTCTCTTGTCTTCTCTATCTCTGTGTATCTCTCTCTCTATATCTCTGTGTCTCTCTATCTCTAGTCTCTCTCTTTCTCGTTCTCTCTCTCTTGCTGTCTATTGCTGTCTCTCTCTGTCTCGCTTCGCTCTGTCTCTCCTTCTCGCTCTCGCTCTCTCGCTCTGTCTCGCTCGCTCTCTCTTCATCGTACGCATATCTCTCTCTCTCTCTCTCTTCTCTCTTCTCTCTGTGTCTCTCTCTTCTCTCTTCTCTCTGTGTCTCTCTCTTCTCTCTGCTGTGTTCTTTCTTGTCTTCTCTCGTTCTCTGTCCTCTTCTCTTGGTCTGCTTGTGCTGTTCTTCTGGTCGCTCTCTTATCTCTCTCTTCTGTCTTGTCTCCTTCTCTATCCTTCGTCTTACTCACAGTCTCTCTCTTCTCCCGGTTCGTCTCGCTCATCGGGCCTTCTCGTCTGCCTCTCTCTCTGTCTCTCTCTCGCTCTCTCTCTCTCTCTCTCTCTTGCTGTCTCTCTCTTGCTGTCTCTCTCTTGCTGTCTCTCTCTCTCTCTCTCTCTCTCTCTCTCTCTCTCTCTCTCTCTCTCTCTCTCTCGCTCTCTCTCTCTCTCTCTCTCTGCTTAAATACCTTTTACAGAGAGTTACTGTAGAAAGTCATAACAGTTTAGTAATTTTATTTTATCACATGCTGAAGCCCATTGGTAGTTAAAGACTGTTTATTACGGCTGAATAGCAGACAGGAAAAACACTTGTTTTATGGCTTATTTTCATTACACCTCCGGTCATGATTTCATCACTGGAGTGAGCAGGGTGTGTTAGTTTTTTCTTCCTCATCTGGGCCAGTTTATGTGACTTATAAAATATGTGAAACATGTGCGTCTGAGCTGTAAACTGGGGAGTTATTTTTGATTGCATTAGCATATAAAAATGCTAAGAGCTGCTGGAGCATATAACTTCCCGCCTCATAGTTAGAGGGGAGAAGTGTTCGATTAAACTTGATGCACATGATAAGAATAACCCCATTGAACAAATTACTTCATCACCTCACTGATCAAGCTACATGATTTCTGTCTGAAGAGACCTCGGTAGTCTAGTTTTAGATGAGGATATTTTCTGAGTTATTTCAAATGTTCTTATCACAAGCTTTCTCAACCTCTCTCTCTTTCTCACTTTAGCATTTAAGAAACCAGCAACCATGGGTTCACCAACCCATATTCACAAAATATTCAACTCTGCGTAACTGCAGCAGCCGAGAGGCATATATTTCCTTGGTTTCATGCCATACAATTAAAGCTATACTCAGTGCTATCCCTTAGCAATACATGACAAGCCTCTCTACTCTGGTGGTTCCCTCAGCATGGGGCAGACCCGACCAAGAAGAACCGTGATGGCAACACTCCTCTGGACATGGTAAAGGAGGGGGACACGGACATCCAGGACCTGCTGAGAGGAGACGCTGCCCTGTTGGACGCTGCGAAGAAGGGCTGTCTGGCCCGCGTCCAAAAACTCTGTAGCCCAGAGAACATCAACTGTAGAGACACACAGGGACGCAATTCCACCCCCCTGCACCTTGCAGGTAAGACTGGCCACCAAGATATAGCCAGGGGTACATACAGATGTGACTCACCCAGTTTGACTTCTGTTGCTAAATATCAAGTTCTGTTAACAAATAACAGTGGCAGTTATACTTGTCAAAAGGGCCAGATTTGATGAATAGTTAAATTACATACCATGTAGAGAGACCACTCGGTGTCCTGAGTAACAGGCTAAAGTAGGTGTGCTTATGTGTTTACAAGCTGAAGCTAGGTGTGATTGTAGACTCCCCCAGTGTGCCCAGATGGTCGGCTGTTGGGCCAGTCTGCCCTCCCTGTGTCTGTGTGAAGCTGGGAGGCTGGAGCTCATTGGAGGGGAACAAACAGCCACTCTAGGGAATAGGGAACAGTCCCGGCCAGTCAACAGCTCAACAGCTGACCTGACACAACCCACACCACACCATGTTTTACTACAAAAGAAAGAGAAAGCGGCAGCGCTCTGTCAACAGCGCTATGTGCTTATTATCGGATGGATTAGGTTACAAAATCAGACGTTTTGGATATAATGTTAATGATATGTTAGACCCCACTGAACAATTCAGAACATGAAGAATCATATTTGTCTTGGTAAAATGTTTTTTTTTATAACATGAGGATGGGATGTGAAATTACATCACCAAAGAGCGTTTTCACCCACTCTGGGCAGAGTGGGTGGACACCCTACAGTATGAACTCTCTAGGTGGCGGAGGAGCAGAGTAGACTCCCCTCGTCTCACATACTCGCACTCTTTCTACCACAACTTGTTTTCACAGTTAACTTAACACCTTCAGACAGCACAGGATAAATTAAGATAGGGTGGATGGTGATTCAACCTATTCAATTTCAATTGCTACCATAACCTAAAACCACTTTTGAATTACGTTTACATGTAATACTAGCACTAAAACTTACTGTCTGTTGTCTCATTCAATTCCTTTCTGATAATTAGAGGTCCGTGCCAGACCTGGGTTCAAATATATGCGTTTGATTATTTGTTATACGTATGTTCTGTGTATTTTATAATTTTCAAATACTGTGGCCCGAATCATGGACTACCTTTATTGGATGTATTTGAAAATAGTTTCCAAATACTTTCATATAAATATCCTACTATTTTTAAGTACCTGGGTTAAATGCATGGGAGTGTATTTGAGTCAATCTATTTTAGTATTTTCAAATACATTCCAATATTCAACTACTTTTCTTTTTAAATACAAATATATAAATACTTACTTTCAAAAGTCTTTGAAAGTAATTGAAATACCCTAAATAGTATTTGAACCCAGGTCTAGTCCATGCTGCAGTGGAGTTTTCTGAGGTCTGTAGTGTCCATAGCGCAGCAGCTTAATTATCGCCCTCAGCAGAACAACTCCAGTCAAACATCCTTCTGCTTGGAGAGGTGTGTGAGAAGGGTGTGTGTGTCTAGTAGTGTGCGTGTGTGTGTCAATGTACCAGACAGACATCTCCCCTCACATTCACAAAGTGAAGAGCTGAGGTGAACTGACCAGAGGAAAGGAGAGGAGAGGGGTGAGAGACCCAATCTAGGAGAATTACTTGAATTAGCAGTCTCTGTAGTAAGAGAGAGTCTGAGAGTGAAATACACACACCAAGAGCAGTGTGTGGATCAGCATTGGGCTGCATTGGGCTGCTAATAATGAGTGTTAATTAGACTAGGTCCTGGAGGGAAGCAGAGGAGAGGAGCAGAGAGGAGCGGAGCAGAGGAGTAATGTGGAGGGGGTGGAGGAAGCGAGCGGTGCAGAGGGACAGAGAGGAGCGGTGCAGAGGGACAGAGAGGAGCGGTGCATAGAGGAGAGGGGCAGAGAGGAGAGGTGCAGAGGGACAGAGATGAACAGTGCATAGAGGAGAGGGGCAGAGAGGAGAGGTGCAGAGGGACAGAGAGGAGCAGTGCATAGAGGAGAGGGGCAGAGAGGAGAGGTGCAGAGGGACAGAGAGGAGCAGTGCATAGAGGAGAGGGGCAGAGAGGAGAGGTGCAGAGGGACAGAGAGGAGCAGTGCATAGAGGAGAGGGACAGAGGGGCAGAGAGGAGAGGTGCAGAGGGACAGAGAGGAGCAGTGCATAGAGGAGAGGGGCAGAGAGGAGAGGTGCAGAGGGACAGAGAGGAGCAGTGCATAGAGGAGAGGGACAGAGGGGCAGAGAGGAGCGGTGCATAGAGGAGAGGGGCAGAGGGACAGAGAAGAGGTGCAGAAGGGGACAGAGATGAGAGGGGTGGAGAGGAGAATAGCAGTGGCGTCCACCACACCACGGCAGAACTGTATTTATTTCTCTATTTCTGCTCAATTTCTTACACAATAAATTGCTGCAGTGGCATAGGGTCACTCCTGCTATGAAGCTGAGCTCGTTTGAGACCTTTAAAGAATACTGAAAAGTAGGGGTGTAACGATCCATCTACTACATCGATGTATCGATTTATATTCCTATGATCCAACTACATCGATCTGTGCTCGGCGAGTTGGCCTTTTGGACAACATATATCAATCTAACATAGTTTTAAAATGTAATAAATCGATTGTATCGATACTAGGAAATAACCCATTGGATTTAAGCACGTCAGACTTTATATGGATGTTTTTTCTTAGCACTTTTAATGATAAAGGCTTTAAACATTACTCGATTCAGTCTGCCTATCCGTGACGTCATCGCCCCGCGCCAGCAGCAGCGCAAAGGCGCAAAGACAACAAAACATAGCATGGCGGACGACAGAGGAGAAGCCGACGAGCGAGAAATTATCAAGCCACCATTGCGGTCCTTACAAGAAACAGGAATCTAGGAAACTTCACCTGCACTGTCCAGTATCCAGGTATTTATTTCAGTCACACTGGTTGAATTTTTGGCTAAAAGGTTACTGAATTGATTTCAAGTCACTGAATCGTTTCGGATCGTATCGTTCTAAATGAACCAATATCGTCCTTGAATCGTATCGACAACCACGAATCGTGATACAAATCGAATCGTTGTTAAAACGAATCGTTACACCCCTACTGAAAAGAAAAGAGGGAGAAAGAGAGGGATTGAGATACAAGTGTCAGATGGAACACTGAGCCACATGGTGCCAGAGTAACACTAGAATGTGAGGACTAAAGGCACCATTTTGCACTGTTTTCATGGCAATACATATGAGCACATTTCTGTCTCTATATTAACCCATTCTGTCTCTATATCAACCCATTCTGTCTCTATATCAACCCATTCTATCTCTATATTAACCCATGTTGTCTCTATATTAACCCATTCTCTCTATATTAACCCATTCTGTCTCTATATTAACCCATTCTGTCTCTATATTAACCCATTCTGTCTCTATATTAACCCATTCTCTCTATATTAACCCATTCTGTCTCTATATTAACCCATTCTGTCTCTATATCAACCCATTCTATCTCTATATTAACCCATTCTGTCTCTATATTAACCCATTCTGTCTCTATATTAACCCATTCTGTCTCTATATTAACCCATTCTGTCTCTATATTAACCCATTCTGTCTCTATATTAACCCATTCTGTCTCTATATTAACCCATTCTCTCTATATTAACCCATTCTGTCTCTATATTAACCCATTATGTCTCTATATTAACCCATTCTGTCTCTATATTAACCCATTCTGTCTCTATATCAACCCATTCTATCTCTATATTAACCCATTCTGTCTCTATATTAACCCATTCTGTCTCTATATTAACCCATTCTGTCTCTATATTAACCCATTCTGTCTCTATATTAACCCATTCTCTCTATATTAACCCATTATGTCTCTATATTAACCCATTCTGTCTCTATATTAACCCATTCTGTCTCTATATTAACCCATTCTGTCTCTATATTAACCCATTCTGTCTCTATATCAACCCATTCTATCTCTATATTAACCCATTCTGTCTCTATATTAACCCATTCTGTCTCTATATTAACCCATTCTGTCTCTACATTATCCCATTCTGTGTTTGTGTCCCCCCACAGCTGGCTACAATAACCTGGAGGTAGCAGAGTACCTTCTGGAGCATGGAGCTGATGTCAACGCCCAAGACAAGGGGGGTCTCATCCCCCTCCACAACGCTGCCTCTTACGGGGTGAGTACCATAATCTCATCCCCCTCCACAATGCTGCCTCTTATGGGATGAGTACCATAACCTCATCCCCCTCCACAACGCTGCCTCTTATGGGGTGAGTACCTCAACTCATCCCCCTCCACAACGCTGCCTCTTATGGGGTGAGGACCATAACCTCATCCCCCTCCACAACGCTGCCTCTTATGGGGTGAGGACCATAACCTCATCCCCCTCCACAACGCTGCCTCTTATGGGGTGAGGACCATAACCTCATCCCCCTCCACAACACTGCCTCTTATGGGGTGAGGACCATAACCTCATCCCCCTCCACAACACTGCCTCTTACGGGGTGAGTACCATAACCTCATCCCCCTCCACAACGCTGCCTCTTACGGGGTGAGTACCATAACCTCATCCCCCTCCACAACGCTGCCTCTTATGGGGTGAGTACCTCACCTCATCCCCCTCCACAACGCTGCCTCTTACGGGGTGAGTACCATAACCTCATCCCCATCCACAACACTGCCTCTTACGGGGTGAGTACCATAACCTCATCCCCCTCCACAACGCTGCCTCTTACGGGGTGAGTACCATAACCTTATCCCCCTCCACAACGCTGCCTCTTATGGGGTGAGTACCTCACCTCATCCACAACGCTGCCTCTTATGGGGTGAGTACCTCACCTCATCCCCCTCCACAACGCTGCCTCTTATGGGGTGAGTACCTCAACTCATCCCCCTCCACAACGCTGCCTCTTATGGGGTGAGGACCATAACCTCATCCCCCTCCACAACGCTGCCTCTTATGGGGTGAGGACCATAACCTCATCCCCCTCCACAACACTGCCTCTTATGGGGTGAGGACCATAACCTCATCCCCCTCCACAACACTGCCTCTTACGGGGTGAGTACCATAATCTCATCCCCCTCCACAATGCTGCCTCTTATGGGATGAGTACCATAACCTCATCCCCCTCCACAACGCTGCCTCTTACGGGGTGAGTACCATAACCTCATCCCCCTCCACAACACTGCCTCTTACGGGGTGAGTACCATAACCTCATCCCCCTCCACAACGCTGCCTCTTACGGGGTGAGTACCATAACCTCATCCCCCTCCACAACGCTGCCTCTTATGGGGTGAGTACCTCACCTCATCCCCCTCCACAACGCTGCCTCTTATGGGGTGAGTACCTCACCTCATCCCCCTCCACAACGCTGCCTCTTATGGGGTGAGTACCTCACCTCATCCCCCTCCACAACGCTGCCTCTTATGGGGTGAGGACCATGACTTCATCCCCCTCCACAACGCTGCCTCTTATGGGGTGAGTACCTCAACTCATCCCCCTCCACAACGCTGCCTCTTATGGGGTGAGGACCATAACCTCATCCCCCTCCACAACGCTGCCTCTTATGGGGTGAGGACCATAACCTCATCCCCCTCCACAACACTGCATCTTATGGGGTGAGGACCATAACCTCATCCCCCTCCACAACACTGCCTCTTATGGGGTGAGGACCATAACCTCATCCCCCTCCACAATGCTGCCTCTTATGGGGTGAGTACCATAACCTCATCCCCCTTCAGAACGCTGCCTCTTATGGGGTGAGTACCATAACCTCATCCCCCTTCAGAACGCTGCCTCTTATGGGGTGAGTACCTCACCTCATCCCCCTCCACAACGCTGCCTCTTATGGGGTGAGTACCTCACCTCATCCCCCTTCAGAATGCTGCCACTTATGCGGTGAGTACCATAACTTCATCCCCCTCCACAACGCTGCCTCTTATGGGGTGAGTACCTCACCTCATCCCCCTCCACAACGCTGCATCTTATGGGGTGAGGACCATGACCTCATCCCCCTCCACAACGCTGCCTCTTATGGGGTGAGTACCATAACCTCATCCCCCTCCACAACGCTGCCTCTTATGGGGTGAGTACCTCACCTCGTCCCCCCCCCACAACGCTGCCTCTTATGGGGTGAGTACCTCACCTCACCCCCCTTCAGAACGCTGCCTCTTACGGGGTGAGTACCATAACCTCATCCCCCTCCACAACGCTGCCTCTTATGGGGTGAGTACCTCACCTCATCCCCCTCCACAACGCTGCCTCTTATGGGGTGAGGACCATAACCTCATCCCCCTCCACAACACTGCCTCTTATGGAGTGAGGACCATAACCTCATCCCCCTCCACAACGCTGCCTCTTATGGGGTGAGTACCATAACCTCATCCCCCTTCAGAACGCTGCCTCTTACGGGGTGAGTACCATAACCTCATCCCCCTCCACAACACTGCCTCTTATGGGGTGAGGACCATAACCTCATCCCCCTCCACAACGCTGCCTCTTATGGGGTGAGTACCTCACCTCATCCCCCTTCAGAACGCTGCCTCTTACGGGGTGAGTACCATAACCTCATCCCACTCCACAATGCTGCCTCTTATGGGGTGAGTACCTCACCTCATCCCCCTCCACAACGCTGCCTCTTATGGGGTGAGGACCATAACCTCATCCCCCTCCACAACGCTGCCTCTTATGGGGTGAGGACCATAACCTCATCCCCCTCCACAACACTGCCTCTTATGGGGTGAGGACCATAACCTCATCCCCCTACACAATGCTGCCTCTTATGGGGTGAGTACCATAACCTCATCCCCCTTCAGAACGCTGCCTGTTACGGGGTGAGTACCATAACCTCATCCCCCTCCACAACACTGCCTCTTATGGGGTGAGGACCATAAACTCATCCCCCTCCACAACGCTGCCTCTTACGGGGTGAGTACCTCACCTCATCCCCCTTCAGAACGCTGCCTCTTATGGGGCGAGTACCATAACTTCATCCCCCTCCACAACGCTGCCTCTTATGGGGTGAGTACCTCACCTCATCCCCTTCTTCTCCATCCCATGGAGCCCAAAAAGTATTGACTACTGTATTATTTCTAACACCAGAATTGTTGGTGTTGAAGGAAAGTGTGCCAGGTGGACAGCAGGTTTACTTACCATTTACTGAGCCAATCAGAGCTCCTCTCTACTCATGTTCCCCCACATGGCCTCCCTGTGCTTCCTCCTTATGCCAAACACAATTTGTTGTGTTCCTGAGTGTGATGCATTGTGGCGTGTGTGTAAATGGTGTGATGTAGAGGTCCCTCCAAGGCTGAAGGAGCTCATCAACTTTTCATACAACACTGCGTTTCATAATTCATTTAGTAGGGAACCCTGGCGTGGCCTAGTGAGGGAGATGCAGTGGAAACACTGGCTGATATGGAGATGATACTGAGAGTGGTCACAGAGGAAAAGAGAGAAAGACAGAGCACAGCAGCACTGACAGTAAACACTATCTAGTCTAAATCAAATTAGCCAAGTAACTGTCCAAGCCACAAGCAAACCCTCTCCCAACCCAACCAAAGCCTCTCCCAACCTAAATGAAACACTATCTCAGGGAACAGCTCTGACCATTGAGATGACACAGATGGGAAACTGTGCCATTTGTTAAGCTAATAAGCAGCACGAATGGCCGTTGTTTTTGTTGTTTATGCCATTGTTTAGTCCAGCAGCAGTGTGTGGGGCCCTGGGGACATGATTAGGCCCAAGCAGGAAGCTCAGAGCAGGCTGCTGCTTGCATAACAGTCCTGGGTTCTGGGACAGTTGTCAGTCCAGTCCAGCGCCCACCCTGCTGCCCCTTGGCATGGGTCCTGAGACCTGCTCCTCCTCTTGCTGCTGTCTGCCAATGTGCTGCTTTGACTGCCTGTGTGTGCGTGCGCTCTTAAGGCCCGTGGGTCGGCTGGCTGACCTTGACTGGGACTCACAGTGGCCCTACGGAATACAGACGATGAGTGGTGATGAATGTCATTGGGGTCGGCTCATTACAGCATAGTGTGGGGGAGGAGTCTGGCGAGCCGGCTGAGTAGGGCATGTCCAACCGACTAGCTCAGTGAGTTGTGAGTCAGAGCATAGCATGACTCTACATTGCTGAGATCTTAAAACGCATTGACGCTTTCTGTAGAAACAAAATGCACTATAGCTTTCAGATAGAGGTTGATGTGGATGGATCTGTAAATTCTCTGTCAATAAGAGAAGCACATGATGAGTCATGGATTTAACTGATTCACTCATACATTCAGATTTAGCCTAACACGTTCCTGTTGTTTCTCCCTCAGCACGTGGATATAGCTGCTCTCCTGATCAAGTACAACACGTGTGTGAACGCTACAGATAAGTGGGCCTTCACCCCACTCCACGAAGCAGCTCAGAAAGGCCGGACCCAGCTGTGTGCTCTGCTACTGGCCCACGGAGCTGACCCTAGCATGAAGAACCAGGAGGGACAGACGCCACTGGACCTGGCTACGGTACACACACACACACACGGATATACAGTGCCTTCGGAAAGTATTCAGACCCCTTGACTTTTTCCACATTTTGTTATGTTACAGCCTTATTCTAAAATTGATTAGATTGATGAGGAAAAACAATCTACACACTACCCCATAATGATAAAGCAAAAACAGGTTTTTAGAAATGTTTGCTAATTCATAAAAAAATAACACGGATATCATATTTACATAAGTATTCAGACCCTTTACTCAGTACTTTGTTGATGCACCTTTGGCAGCCATTACAGCATCGGGTCTTCTTGGGTATGACGTTACAAGCTTGGCACACCTGTATTTAGGGAGTTTCTCCCATTCTTCTCTGCAGATCCTCTCAAGCTCTGTCAGGTTGGAGCGTTGCTGCACAGCTATTTTCAGGTCTCTCCAGAGATGTTAGATCGGGTTCAAGTCTGGGCTCTGGCTGGGCCACTCAAGGACATTCAGAGACTTGTCCCGAAGCCACTCCTTCGTTGTCTTGGCTGTGTGCTTAGGGTCATTGTCCTGTTGGAAGGTGAACCTTCGCCCCAGTGAGGTCCTGAGCGCTCTGGAGCAGGTTTTCATCAAGGATCTCTCTGTAATTTGCTCCGTTCATCTTTGCCTCGATCCTGACTAGTCTCCCTGCCGCTGAAAAACATCCCCACAGCATGATGCTGCCACCACCATGCTTCACCGTAGGGATGGTGCCAGGTTTCCTCCAGACGTGACGCTTGGCATTCAGGCCAAAGAGTTCAATCTTGGTTTCATCAGACCAGAGAATCTTGTTTCTCATGGTCTGAGAGTCTTTAGTTGCCTTTTGGCAAACTCCAAGCGGGCTGTCATGTGCCTTTTACTGAGGAGTGGCTTCCGTTTGCCCACTCTACCGTAAAGGCCTGATTGGTGGAGTGCTGCAGAGATGGTTCTCCCATCTCCACAGAGGAACTCTGGAGCTCTGTCAGTGACCATCAGGTTCTTGGTCACCTCCCTGATCAAGGCCCTACTCCCCCGATTGCTCAGTTTGGCTGGGCGGTCAGCTCTAGGAAGAGTCTTAGTGGTTCCAAACTTCTTCCATTTAAGAATGATGGAGGCCACTGTGTCCATGGGCACCTTCAATGCTGCAGACATTTTTTGGTACCCTTCCCCAGATCTGTGCCTCGACACAATCCTGTCTCGGCGCTCTACGGACAATTCCTTCGACCTCATGGCTTGGTTTTTGCTCTGACATGCACTGTCAACTGTGGGACCTTATATAGACAGGTGTGTGCCTTTCCAAATCATGTCCAATCAATTGAATTTACCACAGGTGGACTCCAATCAAGTTGTAGAAACATCTCAAGGATGATCAATGGAAACAAGATGCATCTGAGCTAAATTTCGTGTCTCATAGTAAAGGGTCTGGATGTTTTATTAAAAAAGAATTTGCAAACATTTCTAATAACCTGTTTTCTCTGTCATTATGGGGTATAGTGTGTAGATTGCTGAGGATTATACTTTTTTTAAATCCATTTTAGAATAAGCCAAAATGTGGAAAAGTCAAGGGGTCTGAATACTTTCCGAATGCACTGTACGTGGATACACACATACGCGGATATATACGGATACATACACATTTGTAATTACCTCAGGGAATGACCTCTCTGCCTTGTAATACTTTAATACACAACCGTAGCGTGTTATGAGGTCCTCACCGATTTTAATCATGTTCTGATTTTGAGAACTTTAGGCAATTAAGACCTTCCTTCAGATGAATGAGCTATATGGTTTACTGTGTAAATCAATGAATATGTTTGTCATAGTATCATCATTACATTGTCTGTTTCTTGTCTCCTCTCTCTCAGGCTGATGACATCAGAGCACTGCTGATAGATACCCTGCCCAGCTGCTTCAAGCCTCAGGCCACGGTGGTCAGCGCCTCAGTGGTCAGTGCAGCAGTCATCTCTCCGGCGTCCACGCCCTCCTGCTTGTCTGCAGCCAGTAGCATAGACAACCTGGCCGGGTCCCTCAGCGAGCTCACTGTGGCTGGAGCCACCGGGCCTGCAGATGGAGCCACCGGGTCCGACAGGAAGGACGGAGAGAGTACGTAACCCCTCCGAGTTTTATATACAGTATAATAGAATATTATACAGCTTTATGTCCAGCCAAGGATGGAAATTTTTCTTTGGCATCAACAGTGATTCAAATTACATCACATCATACTCTTATACATATGAGAAACAGTTAGCCTAATTATCTGATTGTATTTAAGCAGTTTTGTCTGTTTTGTGTTTCATTCAACAGCCATCTTAGACATGAACATCAGCCAGTTCCTGAAGAGCTTGGGGTTGGAGCACCTGCGCGACATCTTCGAGAGGGAACAGGTAAATGCACGTATCCTAGTGGTCCCTGTATGAGCCAATCACTTTCACGTTTACTGTTGCCCAATCACTCACACCACAAACCTAAAATGCTAAACTCTCAATCAATCTGTCATCCATGCCTCTGCCTGCTGCTGGCCTTTTTACTGGAGCTTTACTGGAGCTTTCCACAGTCAGTCAGTCAGTCAGTAGTATTGCCTGCCTGTCTCATCCATAGAGACAGATCATCTCACTCCGAGTCAAGCTGAAGTCCGACTTTACCGTGCTGCATGACCAGACACTGAAATTACCCAACCTGAGGAGCAGAGGACGGGATGGGGAGGGGGCGGAGGGAGGGAGGGAGGGAGGGAGAGGGAGGGAGGGGAAGGAGGGCGGAGAGGGAGGGGGAGGGAGGGAGGAGAGAGAAGAGAGAGAAGAGAGAGAGAGAGAGAGCGAGAGGGGAGAGGAAGAGAGAAGAAGAGGAGAGAGACGAGGAGAGTCAGAGAGAAGAGAGCGAGGACGAGAGAGAGGGGGAGAGAGAGAGAGAGAGGAGAGAGAAGGAGGATAAGAGGGAGGGAGGAGAGAGAGAGAGAGGAGAAGAGAGAGCGAGAGGAGAGAAAAGAGGAGGAGAGAGAGAGAAGGAGAGAGGAGGAGGAGAGAGAGAGGGGAGGAGAGAAGAGAGAGAGGAGGGGGAGAGATGAGAAAAGGAGAAGAGGAGAGAGAGAAAAGAGAGGAGGAGAGAGAGAGAGAGAGAGAGAGAGAGAGAGAAGAGAGAAGAGAGGTAAGAGAGGGGGAGAGAGACGAGAGAGGAGGAGAGGAGGAAAGAGAGGGGAGAGAGAGAAGAGAGAGAGGAGAGAAGAAAAGAGAGAGAGAGAGGGGAGAGGAGAGAGAGAGAGAGAGAGAAGAGAGAGAAGAGAGAGAGAGGAGGGGAGGAGAGGAGAAGAGAGAGAGAGAGAGAGAGAGAGAGAGACCCGGAAGAGAGGAGGGGAAAGGGGAGAGCAAAGAGTAGAGAGGAGAAAAGGGGAGAGAGAGTAGGAGGAGAGAGAGAAGAGAAACAGAGATATAGAGAGATGAGTAAGAAAAGATAAACGAAGATACTATAAATTATATCTTAGATCTCTATCTCTATCGCTCTATCTCGCTCTCTCTCTCTCATCTCTATATCTCTCTCTCTCTCTCTCTCTCTCTCTCTCTCTCTCCCTCCCTCCCTCTCCAAGTGCCCTGTGTCTCCTGGTCTCCAGCAGGGTAGTTTAGGCTGACCTCTTCATCCCACTGCTGATTAGTTTTAGGGGGAATGTTCCACGCAGAGCGGCGTGTGGCGTTGGGAGTGTGTGGAGCGCCATGCCAGGTGAAATCAGGCTGGGGACACGGTAGTGATGCTGGGACAGAGAGGGCTGTCATTTACACATAGATGAGTCCCTACAGCGAGGAGCAGAGGGAGGAGGTCTGGAGAGGAGAGCAAATCAGACCTGATTTAACCTTCCTGTTCAGAATCAGAGTAGCCTGGCTAGGAAAGAGCTAGAGAGAAGTAACATGAAGGAGGGGGTGGGGGGGAGTCACTGCTAAAGGAGAATGTTTCAGTCATTCGGATGTGGGAGGAGCTTATGAGATGTATGTGAAGTCATTTGTTCTCGTACCATATTTGTTCCTTACCATTATCACATCTGTATCCTAGTCACATATGTGGGTGGTTCCTTTTCCTGATTGATTAGACAGGGCCACCGCCCTGGTGGCCAGTGTGTGACAGACCTGTCATACGTGTGAAGGATAGCCAAGGATGAGGCTCTTTGAGATTGGGAGTGTGAGAGAGAGAAAGATAATTCAGGGGATATTTGCTCAGTGAATAAAAAATGAAGGGTCCCCCACACTCAGTCACTAACACACCCCATGCTCACACCACAGCCTCTACATACAGTCTCAACGTTATACTCTCTCTATGATCGTGTGAGCGTTTGTTTATTTGTCCATATTTGAAGGTGTGTGTTTTGAGTGGGCTGGATGATGATGATGTTGTATGCTGCTGTGAATAAGGATTCTCCAGTGTGGTTGATCAGTGAACATGCAGTTTAGTAGTGAGTCACCCATTTAAATCCCTCTCTTCTCCTCCTTCACTGGCTAAGTTTATCCCCTCATTGGGTGGAGTGATTTTACACAACTCACTGCACTGGCTGGATGACTGAGGGTTTCCACTGAGAGAGAGAGAGAGCTCTAAACCTGACTCATATCTTGGTACATATGGGTCATGGTAGGCTGCAAAAAGGGCTAGAAGAAGGGGCCCAGCGACTATACTTTAATAAGAGATGAGAGCAAAACGAAATTGAAAATAAATCCAAAATATACATTTTAATGGAATTTTAAGTGTTCCGATTTGTCATTCCAAATGTCACATTAGCAGTAGACGGTGACTTGCTGTTCTCTGCACTGTTAGTGTCCCTTGGTTCTTATGATATTATGTTTGGCTGTGTTTAGGACAGGCTGTCCTCTGCCCCTGCTCTGGTTGGCTGAATGTGCTCTGTTTCCGTGTAGATTTCGCTGGATGTCCTGGCTGATATGGGCCACGAGGAGCTGAAGGAGATTGGGATCAACGCCTACGGTCACCGCCACAAACTCGTCAAAGGCGTGGAGAGACTCCTGGGAGGACAGCAAGGTCAGAGAGCCAGAGCTCAGCCAAGATACTGCCTGCTGGATCATATCCATATTACATTCATCTTATCCCTTATTGATTTCTTATAAAACGGCCTTATTGGCCACACTGGCTTATTGACAAGAGTTCAATGTTATTCAGGAGGACTGTTTAACCTCTTATGAAACAACAGATGACACTGCTGCTAACCCATACCTGATGTCTCTCAGTACAACCTCCTACTTATAGAACATCGCCTATAGCGCTGTTACTGTGGTTTCTCATTTGTTGTTGTTGTTGTTGTTGTGTTATTATCCCACTGCTCCAGGTGCTAACCCGTACCTGACGTTCCACTGTGCCAGTCAGGGTACGGTGCTCATAGACCTGGCCACTGACGATAAGGAGTTCCAGTCTGTAGAAGAGGAAGTATGTACTCTACATCATTATCTGGAATGGAAACATTGTTGATTCACTGATGGGGCCAGTAGATCTCTGTCTTCAGACTGATGATAGGTGCCCTGTGCAGTACTCTCCCCTTTCTGACCCTAGCTGTGTGTATCTGCTTGCAGTTGCAAAGTACGATCCGAGAGCACCGGGACGGAGGCAACGCAGGTGGGGTCTTCAGCAGGTACAACATTCTAAAGGTGAGTCGTAGGCACCTGGAGAGGAGACAACCTCCCCAAATCCCTTTTTTGTCCTCAATAAACACCTCTTTGTGGAAGATTTTAGCATGTGGGTAGTTCTGTTGTCTCTGTAGCTGTGTATGAGTCTGACTGTGTGTGCTCTGTCTGTCTGTAGATCCAGAAGGTGGTGAATAAGAAGTTGAGGGAGAGGTACTCACACAGACAGAAAGAGATTGCTGATGAAAACCACAACCATCACAACGAACGCATGCTTTTCCACGGTAAGTTACCAGTACCTCTGCAGGCTTTCCTGTCATTTCTGGTGAAGAAACACAATGGGTTCTCTGTTATAACGTCTATGCTGAATTAGTTGATTTTGACATCGATCTTTCCTCTCCTTCTCTTCCTCTCCTCTGTCAGGTTCTCCATTCATCAACGCTATCATACATAAGGGTTTTGACGAGCGGCATGCCTACATCGGAGGCATGTTCGGAGCGGGCATCTATTTTGCAGAGAACTCCTCCAAGAGTAACCAGTACGTGTATGGGATAGGAGGGGGCACGGGCTGCCCCACACACAAAGACCGCTCCTGCTACATCTGCCACAGGTCAGACTCACTCCAGACAATCCTTAATAATATGTGTGATGTGTAGTCTGTGTACTGCAGGCAGAGGCTGTTGTGTGTATGCTGGTATTATAATCCGTATGGTCTGTGTGGTGACGTGTATTGCAAGCCGTTGTATGTGGTGTTCTGATGTGTGTGTGTGTGTGTGTGTTATGAATGAATTCAAGTTGTGTGTAGTATTCTGATGTGTGTTAGGTTGTTTATTACAGGTGTTTGTGTGTTGGGTTGTTGTGTGTTGCAGGCAGATGTTGTTCTGCAGAGTGACCCTGGGCAAGTCCTTCCTCCAGTTCAGTGCCATGAAGATGGCCCATGCCCCCCCTGGACACCACTCGGTAATCGGCCGGCCAAGCGTCAACGGACTGGCATACGCAGAGTATGTCATCTACAGAGGAGAACAGGTCAGTCTAAAGGTGTCAGCATGCTTCAGTTCGGCTGGCGCTTAACCGAACTCAGCTAGGCGAACCGAACGAGTGTGCTTGCATACTCCCTTAAAATACTTTTGCTTGTAATACGAGAAAAAAAGCGGCAATAGAACTGTTTGTCCATATTGAGACGCTGTAGAATAGAATAGTCCGAATTAATCTAAAATAACTCAAGAAATCTGTCATTAATTATGTTTTTGCCGAGGAGATCTTAGTCACGCAATTTTACATCTAACTAAGATGTTTGGTGCAGTATTTCTCAAGTGAAAAAATGTGCATGAAAACGATTAGTTGAAGAATCCCTACTGTTGACCAATCACTGACGAAGGGGTGTAATAATAATAATCATAATTAGTGTAGACTTCGGCTTGCCTCAATCATTTTTTGGGTGTGCACGAACAGCTGGAAAAACCCTTGCCAAAGACCAAAACGAACAAAAACATCACAAAATTTCATCATAATATATACACAAACTGTTCCAAACTGTTTGGAATGGGAAGCATGTGGACGCCTACACACACCCAAACACACCCATGACAATAACTTGTCTGTCCTGTCCCACTGTATTCCTCAGGCATACCCAGAGTACCTCATCACGTATCAGATCCTGAAGCCAGAGAGCACACCCTCCCCCACAGCCGGAGCAGAACAGAAGACCTAGTCCAGACTCAACCAGACCAACTCACACCCATCTTTACTGGGAGAGAACCAACCACAGAGACTGTTACCCAAAACACTACTTCGCACATTCTGGGCAGAGCCGGGACGAACTTCAGCCCCTTAAATTAACTCCACACCCCTGGAAAGATGTCTTTCCTCCTCTTTTTTTTTCTATTTCACTCACTATAAATGACTAGTTCCTCACAACCACAACCATTTCTTTTCCCAAATGTTTTGTTTTGATTTTTTCCCTCGTCCTTCTTTAGTGTTTACTTGAAAATGTTGCCTTCACTGGGAATCGTCTCTAGAGTCATGTTGTCGCCTCCCTAGTGCCCATGCTCCCAGGTCTCTCTCATGGTTTCCCTTGGTGATTGTTGTCACTGGTTACGGCCAAATAGAGAGAACCAAGTGGATAAGGTTTATGTTAGGACAGACATGGGGACTCAAAGCTCATTGGTTAGTGGTTAAGGTTAGAGGTGGGGACTCAAAGCTTATTGGTTAGTGGTTATGGTTAGAAATAGGGGACTCAAAGCTCATTGGTTAGCGGTAAGGCTCAGAGATAAGGACTCTTGCCAGTCTGCCTTTACCTGAGTGATAGCTACCCCAGTGAAACATGGCAGAGACTCCTCTACCTATCCCTCAGACAGGGATTTGTAGGTAAAGATCAGGGTGGATGTACTAGTATGCAGTATACTAGCCTCAGTCCCAGTCCTGTGTCTTCAACAAGCCTGGCAAGGGAAGCTGCTGTACACAGACCCCAGACCCAGGTCATGTGACTGAAAAAACAACCAATAACCTCTCCCTTTCCGTTCCAGCACACACTTTTTTTTTTTTAGCTCATCAAAGCATTACACTTCATTTATCCTATTAGCTCTGTATTATTTTGTGATATTTCCATGATTGTTTTACTTAATTGTTTGGACTTTGTTTTTAAAGATGATGTGTAAAGTGTATAATGGGACCATGTCACAATGGGGACCAGACCTAGAGGTTTTTGACCCCTTTGTTTTTTAAAGTTGAGATGATATATGATATTCCTCTCTGGGACCATTAGGGGATTCCTCTCTGTTACTGGAATTGGGATATCCTCAGAAAGGTTTCAGATTGGGACAGAAATTGAGTTAAGTGAGAAAGTAAAGCAAGCTATGAGACATTTATTACTATTATTATAACATTACTTTGCACAAGAAAACACTGAACATCTGACTTTTCATGACCATTTCCCATCCAGTCAAACTCATCTTTTAATGGATTTGCACTTTTAAACGGGAATGATTTTTAAGTTATTGAAAATAACGTTGAAAAAAAGATGTCCGGTATTGTAGAGTGTGTAGCAGATGATGCCTTTGTTATAGCTCACCATGTTGGTAACAGATGAAGAGTGGGCTGGATTAGTACTGTAAATTAAGTGGGGGTTTTGTGGAACTTCTATGCTAAAAAAAAAAATGTGTGGGGATGTAAGGGATTTTTCAGTTGAGTAAGTTGCTCTTAAGACTAACTGTTTGCAGCTGTTTTTCCGATCTCTTTCTTGGTCAGTCTGCCACATTCATCCCTCTGCTCGGTGTCCTCTTTGAGAAGTAAACAATAACTTTTCTTTCTTCCTACTGGATTTGTTAACCATCCTCTGGGAAATAACAGTTTGAAGCGACAGAAGAAGCAATGGCTGGTTTGAATGCCACATCCTGTAGTCTGTATTGGAGGACAGTGTCTCTGTCCTTACTCTCACTAGCTGGGCTCTCTCTGCATCTTGCCGGTGTGGTGCTGTGCTTTCCCTGCTGTTTCAGATACCACCTCCAGAACTGCCTGCGCTTTGACCTGGATGTTAACCCATCCATTTCTTACAACCTGGAGTGATTCCCAAATGGCACCCTATTCCCTATATAGTGCACTACTTTTGACCAGTGCCCTACTTTTGACGAGTGCCCTACTGGCCCTGGTCAAAAGTAATTAACTATATAGGGAATAGGGTGCTATTTGGGACTGAACCCTGGTCTTAAAGGAAAATACCAGTCGAAAACTATATTTTGGTATTTGTTTCATTATTCTACTGTTGATAGTTCCTAAATGTTTTGCATGTCAGCAATCAAGTTTTCAAGATATAGAACTTTCAAAATACAGAACGTGGCCCAGTATGAAGCGTTTCGCAACAGTGGACTAAAGAAGCAAATACCAAAAGATAGTTTGACTGGAATTTTCCTTTAATCTCCACTCTTTTCTTCAGACCAACACCTGGAGAGAGCCTCGCTGCCTCTTACTTACTTCCTACTACAGTTCTTATCGTATTTTTTTCACAATTGTATTTTGTTTTCCTGGTGCTGAAAAGATCCTTCAATGAATGACCCACTGACTATCATGTACCACAGCTGATCTGGAGACTAATGTAATACTCCACAGTGTTGTAAAGAAGTATTAATAAAGTACATAACTGTTCACATCCAACCAATGCCTCTTCCTTGCTACTTTTCTTACAATTAAAGTAGTTCACTGAAGATTGTTTTGTCAGAATTTTAGACTGAATGGCTTTTGTTGAAGTTGAATGTTCCGCTAGAGGAGTATGGCCTTGTATTGACTACAGCTTATTTTTCTTTAAACCCAACACTACATACTGATACTGTACAGGACATTAATGGAAATGTCCAGAGGAAAAATGTACTGCCACTGTGAAACAGTACTGGCTGTGCTATGCATTCCTATAGACAGGAATTTGTTTTCAGTGAAGTGTGGGAGATGAATAGCTGTGAGGACAGAGTTGACCATTACCTCAGCGATCACCTGCAGGAAAAGATGTCAAGCTTCTCATTCAGGAGGCCGATTAGAAATCAGTCGATCAAAACAAGCAATCTATCCATTCAAAACAAGCAATCTATCATTGTCAAACAGAGCTAAATTGTGTTCTCTGCTAGATGATGTGGATGGCACTAGAGCAGGGCTCGGTTTCCCGATAGCGATGGAATTTAGGCTTACGACTGTTTTAACGACAGATCTTTTCTACAATGGCCGAAGATGTAACATGCGTTTCCCAAAACAACGCGCTGGCAGCAGAGAAAATGGTCACTAAGTGTGTCGTTGGAGCATGTGTAGCTACTGATAGGATCGAAATAAAGTGAGCGCTGCTTTTAGATCAGCTCTATCCATTCAAATCTTATATTAACATTCTAATTATGTCACAATACTGATGACGGATAAGCTCCTAGAGAGATACACCACATGACCGAAAGTATGTGGACACCTGCTTGTCGAACATCTCATTCCTAAATCATGGGCATTAATATGGGGTTGAGGTCAGGGCTCTGTGCAGGCCAGTCAAGTTCTTCCACACCTATCTCGACAAACCATTTCTGTATGGACCTCGCTTTGTGCACAGGGGCATTGTCATGCTGAAACAAGAAAGGGCCTTCCCCAAACTGTTGCCACAAAGTTGGAAGCACAGAATCATCTAGAATGTCATTGTATGCTGTAACGTTAAGATTTCCCTTCACTGGAACTAAGGGGCCTAGCCTGAACCATGAAAAAACAGCCCTAGACCATTATTCCTCCTCCACCAAACTTTACAGTTGGCACTATGCATTGGGGCAGGTAGCGTTCTCCTAGCATCCGCCAAATCCAGATTTGTCCGTCGGACTGCCAGATGGTGAAGAGTGATTCATCACTCCAGATAATGCGTTTCCACTGCTCCAGAGTCCAATGGCGGCAAGCTTTACACCACTCCAGCCGACGCTTGGCATTGCGCATGGTGATCTTAGGCTTGTGTGCTGCTGCTCAGTCATGGAAACCCATTTCATGAAGCTCCTGACGAACAGTTATTGTGCTGATGTTGCTTCCAGAGGCAGTTTGGAACTCTGTAGTGAGTGTTGCAACCGAGGCCAGACAATTTTTTTCTGTCGTTAGTTCGTAGCCTAAGCTTTACGTCCTAACTGTAGCCCTTCAGCACTCGGTGGTCCTGTTCTTTGAGCTTGTGTGGCCTACCACTTCGCGGCTGAGCCGTTGTTGCTCCTAGACGTTTCCACTTCACAATAACAGTACTTACAGTTGACCGGGGCAGCTCTAGCAGGGCAGAAATTTGACGAACTGACTTGTTGGAAAGGTGGCATTCTATGACGGTGCCACGTTGAAAGTCACCAAGCGCTTCAGTAAGGCCATTCTACTGCCAATGTTTGTCTATGGAGATTGCATGGCTGTGTGCTCGATTTTATACACCTGTCAGCAAGGGGTGTGGCTGAAATGGCCTAATCCACTAATTTGAAGGGGTATCCACATACTTTTGTATATATAGTGTATTACCACCTACGCCTGCAAATATTGAGGCGGTTTATTCTAATGCTTATCCAATTTTTTAAAAATGCACTAAAAGTTTGGAGATTTAACGATATGCTCCTACGAAGGTTCTAATGATGAATTTAGCCTTAAAATGCTTTTGGAAAAACCGGGCCCTGGGCTGTTTAGCACAGATTATCCATTATATTGAACAGGGCCCGGTTTCCCAATAGTGATGGAATTTAGGTTTATGAGTGTTTTAGTCCAAAGATGTCACACATTTCCCAAAACACCCTGCAGTGCACTTGTTACAAAGTGAAACTTAACTGTGTCGTTACAGGAGCTGTCCCATGCTGAAAATTATTCCAGATTATAAACTGGGGGTTCGAGCCCTAAATGCTGATTGGCTGACAGCCGTGGTATATCAGACCGTATACCAGGGGTATGACAAAACATGTATTTTTACTGCTCTAATAACTTTGGTAACCAGTTTATAATAGCCGTGGTATATTGGCCATATACCACACCCCCTCGTGCCTTATTTCTTAAATATAAACTAGAGCTCACTGTAGCTCTTAAATGATTTATGACTATTCAAAGTAATATTTTTTTTTCAGATACAGTTTTCCCATAAAGAGATAAAAAATATTCTGTAGCCTTGTATGCATGTAAGTGTTTGTATTATATGTTTGTCATTTGGTATGCTAACTGTTCTCGTGCTATTTTGAATGCAATGTTTGATTATGTAAATTCTGAATTTCTTCAGTTTGTAAACTGTGAGCAATAATAAATCATGCAAAAGTCAAAGTTGCTCGTTCTTTCGTTAGATATAGAAAATATCAATGTGACCTAAAAATAGGATATGATGACAATGGTTTTCGTAATTGCTCAACAAATCATTGTAGCCTAAAGGCTGGCAGGAATTGAGCTTCAAATAGGCCTACAGATATTCTGCAATTAAACAAATAAAATAGGCTAATTAACCATGAAGTAGCAAGTTAAGCGACGTTGCCATAGACCTAATATGTTGACCTTTAGATTATTGGTTCGGCTACAGTGAAATGCTTAAGCTTTTAGATAATATGGCCTGTAGGCCTAATAGATACGAATATTGAAGCGGCTCCGACATAATGATCTAACGGCTTAATAATACTAGGTAGGTCTATCGATTGCACATAAATCTAAGTAATGTTAATATTTTTGCCTAAATCTAGTTTTTTTTAAATGTATTCTTGCTTCACTTGTTTATAATAACATTGCAAACTTTATATTAAACTATGACGTTTTCGGCGGTCACAGAGAGACAGATAAACATCTTAATTCTATGTTTAGTGTATATTTTATGTGTGTAAAGTGACGCTGGAGGGCAAACGGTGATCTAACCACGTACTTAACTGTTCTTACTAGTGGTCTGAGGCTGGCGTTAGATTTAAAGTGCAACGTTAATAAAGTCGGTTTTGGGAAACGGCTCGGAAATGTCAAGATGCTCTTAGGTCCTCTTATGAGGTTCTAACGATTAATTTTGGATGATTTTGGAAAACCGGCCACAAATACTCCAGTGGCTGCCCTAACAATGAAAATAAATGTCTTCAAAAAATGGAAGGCAGTTGGGAGGAGGCAAGATCAGCTGGGACCATTATAGCCAACGAGAGGGCATATACGCGTGTGAAGAACAGGCACAACGGTTTCCACTAGTTACCACAAACACAGTCAAAATTGTCTTTATCTTAAAAATTCATGAAAACAAAAATTGGTTTTTGGTTTTAATTTAAGGTTAGTATTAGGCATAAGGTTAGCAGTGTGGTTAAGGTTGGGGTTAGGTTTAAAATCACATTTTAAGAAAATCAATAGTAGAAATAGGCGGGGTTTATGACTTTGTTGCTATGGTAACTAGTGACGACCAGGCGCAACTCCGATACAAATAGTTTTTTTCTCAAAGTTGCCGGTGTGTCACGTGTCACATATAACAACCTAATAATTACGAAACTTCTATTTGATCAAATAAGCCACACGTAGCAAATAATCCATTACATTTTTTGTTATCCAAATTCAACACTTTCTCATTGACCTCCATACAAAAACAGCTCGCCTGGCACCTTCTGGGGAAGATAGATTTTGGGACCAGTTATCACCTTTGCTTCGCGTCTTTCTCTCTGGCATTAGTCCCTTATTAGGAGGAGAGGATGAGAACCAGAAGTGTTTCGTCCCTCCAGGACCAACATGAACAGCCCTGCACTAGAGCTTGTTAGATGTGTGTATATTATGCATAGTGTATAGGCCTATATACTTATAGGGAGGGGATTTGCTCACGTCTGTGAAGTAGCATTTGATTAATACTTATAATCTGACAGAATGGAAAACAATAATGAAATCGATGTATTATAGCGTGTGTTTTTGTCATCTAAATGGCTAGGCTCCAGGTATAATCCCCATGGTATCATCATTATACCCAACACCTACAATGTGACTTCTATGGAGACATTTATGAGGATGTAGAATATTAAGATCGCCCACTAGGGGGTGCTATAACCCTACACTTATGTTAGGAAATGCAACACAGCTCCTCGAACGATTTTTTCAGACAGGACCGGACCTAGACCAGGTGATGAACAGACCATCACAATCCATTACGCTTTGCCGCAAAGATTGCTGTATTGTCTAAGGCTGGCTAAATCTAAACACCAGCCTTTTATCTTTGTGAGATCGCTTAGTAGTAGGCCTTTGATTATTTTGACATCATTACCTGTGCTTGCATTTATGATCTTGTGATTAGAACAAACACATTTTTTAAAAACTCAAGGTTGTATTTAAATATGAGTCATCAGCCTGCTTGGTGTAATAAGATGTAGGCCTATTTAAATATAAAGAATAACCCCACTATGTACATTGTGTTGTGTTACAGCCTGAATTCAAAATGAAAAAATAAAAATACACCCATCTAAACACAATAACCCATAATGACAAAGTGAAAAAATGTTTTAGACATGTATTGAAAATGAAATAAAGAAATATCTCATTTACATAAGTATTAACACCCCTGAGTCAATACATATTAAGAATCACCTTTGGCAGCGATTACAGCTGTGAGTCTTTCTGGGTACATCTCTAAGAGCTTTGCACACCTGGATTGTACAGTATTTGCACAATATTATTTTTTAAATTCTTCAAGCTCTATCAAGTTGGTTATTGATCATTGCTAAACAGCCATGTTCATGTCTTGCCATAGATTTTCATGCCGATTTAAGTAAAAGCTGTAATTAGGCCACTCAGGAACATTCAATGTCGTCTTGGTAAGCAACTCCAATGTAGATTTGGCCTTGTGTTTTAGGTTATTGTCCTGCTGGAAGGTGAATTTGTCTCCCAGTGTCGGATGGAAAATAGACTGAACCAGGTTTTCCTCTAGGATTTTGCCTGTGCTTAGATCTATTCAGTTTCTTTTTATCAACAAAAAAAACTCCCTAGTCTTTAACGATGACAAGCATACCGATGACATGATGCAGCCACCACCATACTTGAAAATATGTTAGAGTGGTGCTCCGTGATGTATTGGGTTAGCCCCAAACATAGCACTTTGTATTCAGGAATAAAGTTGATTTCTTTGCCACATTTTTTTGCAGTTTTACTTTTTTTATTTTATTTTATTTCACCTTTATTTAACCAGGTAAGCCAGTTGAGAACAAGTTCTCATTTACAACTGTGACCTGGCCAAGATTGTCAAGGTTGAGTGTAGATGTGGTGTGGAATCAAGCGCAGGACACACAGAGGCTTCGTACTAGCGTCTTTAGTGAAGACAAAAAAGAACAAGCCAAACACGGCTAAATACAACCTGGCAGGCAAGCGAACTTTACGCACACCGGTAAAGTACAAACAAAAGGCACACACTGTGCGGAACTCTCTTCAAAAACAACACAGAGAGAATAAACGAACTAGCATCCCAAAATGACACAAACAATTACACACAACACATGACAAAACCCAAGAGAACTTATAGGACGCATAATTAACACTAACAAGGAACAGGTGTAACAAAACAGACAAAACCAAACAAACATCGAAACATAGAACGGTGGCAGCTAGTACTCCGGAGACGACGACCGCCGAAGCCTGCCCGAACAAGGAGAAGGAGCAGCCTCTGCCGAAACCGAGACAAAGATAAAGCAAAGCAGTGCGATAAAAACAACAACACAGAGTTACATATGGGGTAAACAAAACATAAAGTCAAAAATACAACAGAAAATATATATACAGTGTGTGCGAATGTAGTAAGTTATGGAGGTAAGGCAATAAATAGGCCATAGTGCAAAAATAGTTACAATTTCGTAATTAACACTGGAATGATAGATGTACAAAAGATGATGTGCAAATAGAGATACTGGGGTGCAAATTAGCAAAATAAATAACAATATGGGGATGAGGTAGTTGGGTGGGCTAATTTCATAATGGCTGTGTACAGGTGCAGTGATCGGTAAGCTGCTCTGACAACTGACGCTTAAAGTTAGTGAGGGAGATAAGAGTCTCCAGCTTCAGAGATTTTTGCAGTTCGTTCCAGTCATTGGCAGCAGAGAACTGGAAGGAATGGCGGCCAAAGGAGGTGTTGGCTTTGGGGATGACCAGTGAGATATACCTGCTGGAGCGCAGACTACGGGTGGGTGTTGCTATGGTGACCAGTGAGCTAAGATAAGAAGGGGATTTGCCTAGCAGTGATTTATAGATGACCTGGAGCCAGTGGGTTTGGCGACGAATATGTAGTGAGGGCCAGCCAACAAGAGCGTACAGGTCACAATGGTGGGTAGTATATGGGGCTTTGGTGACAAAACGGATGGCACTGTGATAGACTACATCCAATTTGCTGAGTAGAGTGTTGGAGGCTATTTTGTAAATGACATCGCCGAAGTCAAGGATTGGTAGGATAGTCAGTTTTACGAGGGCATGTTTGGCAGCATGAGTGAAGGAGGCTTTGTTGCGAAATAGGAAGCCGATTCTAGATCTAACTTTGGATTGGAGATGCTTAATGTGAGTCTGGAAGGATAATTTACAGTCTAACCTGACACCTAGGTATTTGTAGTTGTCCACATACTCTAGGTCAGACCCGCCGAGAGTAGTGATTCTAGTCTGGTGGGCGTGTGCAAGCAGCGTTCGGTTGAAGAGCATACATTTAGTTTTACTAGTGTTTAAGAGCAGTTGGAGGCTACGGAAGGAGTGTTGTATGGTGTTGAAGCTCGTTTGGAGGTTTGTTAACACAGTGTCCAATGAAGGGCCAGATGTATACAAAATGGTGTCGTCCGCATAGAGGTGGATCCGAGCATCACCAGCAGCAAGAGTGACATCATTGATATACACAGAGAATAGAGTCGGCTCGAGAATTGAACCCTGTGGCACCCCCATAGAGACGGCCAGAGATCCAGACAACAGGCCCTCCGATTTGACACATTGAACTCTATCTGAGAAGTAGTTGGTGAACCAGGCGAGGCAGTCATTAGAGAAACCAAGGCTATTTAGTCTGCCAATAAGAATGCGGTGGTTGACAGAGTCGAAAGCCTTGGCCAGGTCGATGAAGACGGCTGCGCAGTACTGTCTTTTATCGATCGCGGTTATAATATCGTTTAGGACCTTGAGCGTGGCTGAGGTGCACCCATGACCAGCTCGGAAACCGGATTGCATAGCGGAGAAGGTACGGTGGGATTCGAAATGGTCGGTGATCTGTTGGTTAACTTGGCTTTCAAATACTTTCGAAAGGCAGGGCAGGATGGATATAGGTCTGTAACAGTTTGGATCTAGAGTGTCACCCCCTTTGAAGAGGGGGATGACCGTGGCAGCTTTCCAATCTCTGGGGATCTCAGACGTTACGAAAGAGAGGTTGAACAGGCTAGTAATAGGGGTTGCGACAATTTCGCCGGCTAATTTTAGAAAGAAAGGGTCCAGGTTGTCTAGCCCAGCTGATTTGTAGGGGTCCAGATTTTTCAGCTCTTTCAGAACATCAGCTGTCTGAATTTGTGTGAAGGAGAAGCAGGGGGGGTGGGGGTGCATGGGCATGTTGCAGCGGAGGGTGCAGAGCTGGTGGCCGGGGTAGTGGTAGCCAGTTGGAAAGCATGGCCAGCCGTAGCAAAATGCTTGTTGAAATTCTCGATTATTGGTGGTTAAAGTGTTTCCTAGCCTCAGTGCAGTGGGCAGTTGGGAGGAGGTGCTCTTATTTTCCATGGACTTTACAGTGTCCCAAAACGTTTTGGAGTTAGTGCTACAGGATGCAAATTTCTGTTTGAAAAAGCTAGCCTTTGCTTTCCTATCTGATTGTGTATATTGGTTCCTGACTTCCCTGAAAAGTTGCATATCGCGGGGGCTGTTCGATGCTAATTCAGTACACCACAGGATGTTTTTGTGCTGGTCAAGGGCAGTCAAGTCTGAGGAGAACCAGGGGCTATATCTGTTCTTAGTTCTGAATTTTTTGAATGGGGCATGCTTATTTAAGATTGAGAGGAAAGCACTTTTAAAGAACAACCAGGCATCCTCTACTGACTGAATGAGGTCAATATCCATCCAGGATACCCAGGCCAGGTCAATTAGAAAGGCCTGCTCGCTAAAGTGTTTTAGGTAGCGTTTGACAGTGATGAGGGGTGGTCGTTTGACCGCGGACCCATTACGGACGCAGGCAGTGATCGCTGAGATCCTGGTTGAAGACAGCGGAGGTGTATTTAGAGGGTAAATTTGTCAGGATGATATCTATGAGGGTGCCCATGTTTACAGATTTAGGGTTGTACCTGGTAGGTTCGTTGATAATTATCTACAGTAGATTGCAACCCCACCCCCTTTGGCAGTTCTATCGAGACGGAAAATGTTGTAGTTGGGGATAGACATTTCTGAATTTTTGGTGGCCTTCCTAAGCCAGGATTCAGACACTGCTAGAACATCAGGGTTGGCGGAGTGTGCTAACGCAGTGAATAACTCAAACTTAGGGAGGAGGCTTCGGATGTTAACGTGCAAGAAACCAAGGCTTTTACGGTTACAGAAGTCAACAAATGATAACGCCTGGGGAGTAGGAGTGATACTGGGGGCTACAGGGCCTGGGTTAACCTCCACATAACCAGAGGAACAGAGGAGGAGTAGAATAAGGATACGGCTAAAGGCTTTAAGTACTGGTCTTCTAGTGCATTGGGTACAGAGAAAAAAAAGGGCCGATTTCCGGGCGTTGTAGAATAGATTCAGGGCATTATTGTAACACTCTGGCTCCGGGACTTTTGTATTTGAGCCAGGGTGTATTGTGTTTTGTTGGGTTTTGGGTGATTTTCTATGTTGGTAGTTCTGTTGTGTGTGTTTCTAGGTTTGGTCATTGACTCCCAATCGGAGGTAACGAGTGTCAGCTGTCGGCTCGTTATCTCTGATTGGGAGCCATATTTATACTGCATGTTTTCCTGTGGGCATTGTGGGTTAGTGTTCCGTGTTTCAGTCGTTGTACTGTGGACTTCACGAGTCGTCTTTTGTTTTGTATTTCGGTGCTTTTTCAATTAAAGTCATGTTCGTTCAACGCGCTGCGCTTTGGTCTCCTTCACTCCTAGACGATCGTGACAGAATAACCCACCAGAAAAGGACCAAGCAGCGCGTCCAGGAGCAAAGGGTCTGGACATGGATGGAACTGTTGGACGGTAAAGGGTCCTGGACTTGGGAGGAGATCCTGGATGGTATGGATCGCCGACCATGGAACGAGACGGTGGAGAGGCGACGGCGAGAGGAGCAACGGCATCGGCAGGGCCATCGTCGGAAGGACGAGAGGCAACCCCAAAAAGTTTTTTGGGGGGGGCACATGGCTTGGGCGACTGAGCAGCAGGAGGCTGCCACAAGGCAGATTCAGAAGGCTACCAGGTTAAGGGGGCTGACGGAGGCAGAGAAGGGACGGATTCAGGAGGCTACCAGGTTAAGGGGGCGACTGGGAAAGGCAGGGAAGGAAGGTGTAGAGGCACGGCGAGAGGTACTGGGGTGTGTAACCAGTCCGGTCCGGCCCGTTCCTAATCCCGAGGTACAGCCAGTAGTGTGTGTCCCCAGTACGGTACGGCCTGTTCCGGCCCCTCGCACTAAGTGTACGGTGCGCGTCGCCAGCCCAGCCCGGCCTGTTCCTGAGCCTCATACGAAGCCTACGGTGCGCGTCGCCAGCCCAGCCCGGCCTGTTCCGGCCACTCGCACCAGGGATACGGTGCGCGTCGCCAGCCCAGCCCGGCCTGTTCCTACTCCACGCACCAGGGATACGGTGCGCGTCGCCAGCCCAGCCCGGCCTGTTCCGGCCACTCGCACCAGGGATACGGTGCGCGTCGCCAGCCCAGCCCGGCCTGTTCCTACTCCACGCACCAGGGATACGGTGCGCTTCGCCAGCCCGGCCCGGCCTGTTCCGGCCACTCGCACCAGGGATACGGTGCGCGTCGCCAGCCCAGCCCGGCCTGTTCCTACTCCACGCACCAGGGATACGGTGCGCTTCGCCAGCCCGGCCCGGCCTGTTCCGGCCTCTCGCACCAGAGATACGGTGCGCGTCGCCAGCCCAGCCCGGCCTGTTCCTGCTCTCCGCACTAGGCCTTATGTGCGTCCCCAGGGTCCAGCATGCCCTGTTGCTGCTCTCCGCACTAGGCCTTATGTGCGTCCCCAGGGCCAAGCATGCCCTGTTGCTTCTCCCCGCACTAGCCCAGAGATGCGTGTCCTCAGCCCGGTACCTCCAGTTCCGGCACCACGCATCAGGCCTACGGTGCGTCCCCAGGGCCAAGCATGCCCTGTTGCTTCTCCCCGCACTAGCCCTGAGATGCGTGTCCTCAGCCCGGTACCTCCAGTTCCGGCACCACGCCCCAGGCCTACGGTGCGCCTCAGACGGCCAGAGTCTGCCGTCTGCCCAACGGGGCCTGAACTGTCCGTCTGCCCAACGCCGCCTGAACTGCCCGTCTGCCTAAAGCCTGCAAAGCCGCCCGTCTGCCATGAGCCATCAGAGCCGTCCGCCAGACCAGAGCCGCTAGAGCCTTCCGCCAGACAGGATCAGCCAGAGCCTTCTGCCAGACAGGATCAGCCAGAGCCTTCTGCCAGACAGGATCAGCCAGAGCCTTCTGCCAGACAGGATCAGCCAGAGCCTTCCGCCAGACAGGATCAGCCAGAGCCTTCCGCCAGCCATGAGCAGCCAGATCCGTCGGCCAGCCATGAGCAGCCAGATCCGTCGGCCAGCCATGAGCAGCCAGATCCGTCGGCCAGCCATGAGCAGCCAGATCCGTCAGCCAGCCATGAGCAGCCAGATCCGTCAGCCAGCCATGAGCAGCCAGATCCTTCAGCCTGCCATGAGCCGTCCAGCCAGGATCCGCCAGAGCCAGCCAGCCAGGATCCGCCCCTTAGCCAGGTGCTGTCCCTTAGCCCGGTGCTGCCCCTAAATCCAGGTGGAGTAAGTTGGAGGGTGGTCATGTGGAGGAGGCTAGGGAAGCGGGTGGTGACTAAGGTGGGGTGGGGACCACGACCAGGGCCAGAACCGCCACCGTGGACAGACGCCCACCCAGACCCTCCCCGAGACCGTATGCTGGTGCGCCCGGAGTGCGCACCTTTAGGGGGGGGTACTGTAACACTCTGGCTCCGGGACTTTTGTATTTGAGCCAGGGTGTATTGTGTTTTGTTGGGTTTTGGGTGATTTTCTATGTTGGTAGTTCTGTTGTGTGTGTTTCTAGGTTTGGTCATTGACTCCCAATCGGAGGTAACGAGTGTCAGCTGTCGGCTCGTTATCTCTGATTGGGAGCCATATTTATACTGCATGTTTTCCTGTGGGCATTGTGGGTTAGTGTTCCGTGTTTCAGTCGTTGTACTGTGGACTTCACGAGTCGTCTTTTGTTTTGTATTTCGGTGCTTTTTCAATTAAAGTCATGTTCGTTCAACGCGCTGCGCTTTGGTCTCCTTCACTCCTAGACGATCGTGACAATTATGTACAGACAAGGATATGGAAGGATATGAGTACAGTGGAGGTGCCTTATTGCAAACAGGATGCATGTTTTGGAATATTTTTATTCTGTATAGGGTTACTTATTTTCCCTCTGTCATTTTGGTTAGTATTGTGGAGTAACTACAATGTTGTTGATCCATCCTCAGTTTTCTCCTATCATAGCCATTAATCTCTGTAACTGTTTTAGTCACCATTGGCCTCATGGGGAAATCCCTGAGCGGTTTCCTTCCTCTCTGGCAACTGAGTTAGGAAGGACGCCTGTATCTGTAGTGACTGGGTGTATTGATACACCATGCTCAAAGGGATATTCAATGTCTTTTTTTTTACCCATCTACCATCTACCCTTCTTTGCGAGGCATTGGAAAACCTCCCTGGTCTTTGTGGTTGAATTTGTTTTTGAAATTCACTGCTTGATTGAGGAACCATACAGAGAATTGTATGTGTGGGGTACAGAGATGAGGTAGTCATCATTTAATGTTAAACACTATTATTGCACACAGAGTGGGTCCATGCAACCTATTATGTGACTTGTTAAGCAAATGTTTACTCCTGAACTTATTTAGGTTTGCCATAACAAAAGGGTTTAAATGCTTATTGACTCAAGACATTTCAGCTTTTCATTTTTAATTAATTTGTAAAACTTTCGAAAAACATAATTCCACTTTGACAGTGGCACAAAATCTCAGTTTAATCCATTTTAAATTCAGGCAGTAATACAACAAAATGTGGAAAAAATCTAAGGGTGGGAATCCTTTCTGAAGGCACTGTAGTCCCTCCCAGATACCATGTATGATATTTCATGCAAGTAAGACAGAGAGATTTCCTTTTTTTAAGAACATTGTTGTATTTCACAATGGAATTTTAGGAATAAATAAAGCATATACAATTCAACAAAAACATAGGGAAAAGTTTTTTTAAATGTCAACTGATATTGCCATGATGAGACAACAGCATTTCACTTGACACAGGTAGAAAGTATTGCATTGTTCAATGATTGTGGACCAGCGAACGCCTCTCATCTTCATATAATTTACATACATACCCTCGTTCAAGAACAAAAGCACATTATAGGTGTCATCAGTTACCACCTGGTCTCATAGTAATAATAATGTGCAAATTAATTCAAAGTTATAATACGATATTGCATCACTTAAAAGTGCTCTATAAAAGGTGCCAACATTCTTCAAAAAGAGGAGGGGAGTTAAATCCTGTTTTCCCAAAAGCCTTTGCTCTGGCTCTGATCATCGCCTGTGCCAGTGCTTCCAGGCAATATTTTCACTCAGAGAACGACATGAAAAGAAAAACAATGAACCATTTCACGAGTCAGTCCAGTGGCGGCACACACTAGCACTTTTCTCCCATCTCATGTATATTTTTTCCCAGTGATGTCGGATATTCCAGTGTGTCTGTTTTCTTAGGGGTGTTTGTGCGTGGCCGGGAAATTGTCCCTGTTGGTTATTGTGCATTTGGACAAGTTTAGAAAATAGACTGGATCTACTAGACATTGGTGGAGTAACAGTGATAAGACAAAGAAACAAGCCATAGGTCTGTTCCCAACTAACTCCCTCCTCCAACAAGCATTAAACCAATCAACATCCATGGTCTGAACAGAAATAGTACCTATGTAACAGACAACAATATGCCTCCATGCAGGAATGAAAAATGACAACATTCTTATCTTGAGAATTTGAAAAAAATCATTATTGGTAAGGCAAACAGCACTTCTCAAAGATCCGGTCTTTATCGATGAGCGAATACACACATATGAAGCTAAAAACATGATCAGAACTACACAATGTAGTACTTTGGTGGTAACTGGGAAGAGAGAGAAATGCATTATTGCTCTACTTGGGGGAGAGGAACAGATAGGATTACATTGTCTGTATTGCAGTGCTGACTTGAAATGGTTTGTTGTTGCCATTTAGAGATTTGCCAGTTTATCTGCCTCAGTCTGTTTGAAAAGAAAAGGGGCACATCCAAAAGCGCTGGAAAGAAATATCCTATACCTTCTCTGAACAAGGCACTGAACAAAAAACAGAAAAAAATGACTAGACCCCCTTTCCCCTCAAAAGCAAATCTGTCCTTCCGACCGAGCTTATTACATGGAACACCAAGGGCTATGTAGCAGGGGCTCAGACGTTCATTTGGCACTGTCTCAGAAAGCTAGTCTCTCCATCTCAGCGGCTTCTCCTCCTCCGCAGGGGGGACTCTTTTATTCAGTCATTCATCAGCAGTCCAGCTCCAGGAGAGGAGGGGGTGTGTGGGAGAGAGGATGGGGATGTCAGGGACAGGAAGCCGGACAGGACGCTAGCAGAGCACCTGTCACAACTGAAGAGCCTCCTGCGCTCCATCAGGAAGCCACTACATGACTGAGCACTCTCTTTCTCCCCCCTCCCCTCTTTGCTCTTTCATTTTCTCTGCATCTCTGCTCACGGCCATTCATCCCTCTCAACAGGACCGGAGAGGCTTTGGAAAACTCCACAGGAAATGAAAAAGATGGACTTCAACTTTAGAATTCTGCCACCCCGTCCTTCCTGTGTCCACCTTCACACTAAAACACAGGAACTGCATCTCTTCTTTAGCCTGTTTTACGAAAAAGTGTATTTATTAGTCACCATATAGTGATGAAGGTGTATGCGTGAGTGCCATATTCTATACAGTTTTTTGTGTCAGGCAGCAGGATAGGCACCCTCAGTTTTTGTTTGTCAATGGACTTTTGAGCTTATATCAGGTAGGAGAAGAGAACCTCTCTCTCTTTGCTCTGGATAGTGAGAGGAATGGGGCAGTGAGACTTTGTAGGGGCGGGGCATCAGCAGCTGGGCGAGGTTGTGATTGGACTCTGCAGGTAGGCCAGGCTGCTGGGCTGGCCATGTGCTACCACGGAGACGGGAAAGCTGAAGATGAAGGGCGACGTAGGGCTGGAGGAAGACTTGGGGCCCAGGCTGGTTGCAGAGGGGCTGGCAGCCTCCACCGCGCATGACGTGGCCAGCACCTGGGACTCGAACTGCAGCAGCTGACCCATAAAGCTGAAATTGGGGGAGATGATACTGCGGCGCTGCTTGACGAACTCAAAGGCTTCGTCCAGCCGAACACGCTTCTTCTTCATCAGGTACGCCAGGCAGATGGTGGCAGAGCGAGAGATGCCCGCCTGGCAGTGTACCAGCACACGCCCATTAGAGTCTTTCACAGAGTCTGAAGAGAGAGACACAGAGAGATAGGGGGGACAGAATTGACTCAGGACATACTGTAGATATGCACAGGATAGGTAATACATAGTGCTCAGGGTCATCTGTTGTCATGGTCTGTTGTCATGGTCTGTAAGCTTTGTTGATAGACACATATCACTTCACTGATTTGTTTTTCCTCATGGTTCTCATCCACACAGACGACCACAAAGGCACACGCCAGGCTCTTACACCTCAGTGTCTCATAAGCAATATATTAGTCTATAGCCCTATAAAATAACAAACAGCAACACTATGCACCCCAGAACAAAGACATGCAAATGTAGATCCTGCACCCAAGACACCTACAGCCCTTACCATACATAAGCATTTCTCACCATGAGAAATAGCAACCACAGGGGAGTTGCCCTCATCACAGGGAGGCCATTATGAGTAGAGTCCACACAACAAAATGTGTGTCCTAATGCCCAAATATTTATATGTGAGTAGAATGTCATAAATACTAATTAAAACACAGAAATTGTGTGCAGTCGTGTTCTCTCGCGTGGACATACACAGATATTAAGGTAACTCCAACTAACGCGGCACCACACCCAAGAACAGTGGATGAGTCATACTCTGGTCCCTAAGCAGCTAACTCTGATGCATTCAAGCCCATAGACGCTTACAAACACACACACACCTCCAAACCTACTGAGGTCTCCACACACCAGTGCAGCAGGCTTCCATGTGGAGTATGACGCTAGGCCCTCCTATTCTCCCTCATGGTAATCTCTAACCATGGTAATCTCTAACCATGGTAATTACTATAATTCAGCTCTCCTCTACCTCCGTCATCCATATCAACTAAGCACACTGAGCATTGGTAAAACTCATACTGAGATTCTGCATAAGCACACTATTTATTGTCTATTTAATACCAATTATTTATTCTAAAATGTTCTCCTTTCACTTAGGCTAGTACCTGGCCGGGAATTAAAATGTTATCTTAAATACATTTTGCCACCGTGGTTTGAAAAATACTGCCACCCATTACTCATACACTAGGAGTAATTATCAAAGGAGCCATCTGTTTGAAATGTTCTTGAAGAGACATCAATTGAAGTGACACTCTTCCCTGCAAAATGAAGACCTTCAATCACATGACCAAATGAACATTGTACTGAGCTATGCTGCAGCTACAGGGACCATCATAGACCATGTCATTCTCCTCCTGCTCATGATGATGATGAAGATGTATTAGTCTAAGTCCCAAATGGCACCCTATTCCCTTTATAGTGCACTACAAGGTATAATTTGGGACAGATCCCATGTATTCTTCTAAGAAAATTAAACTTACCGATAAACTCAATGGCTTCTATGAACCAGGAGCTGATGTCCTCTTTGTGGTTGTCCTCCACAGGAATGCACTTGTACTGGTAGACCCCCTCGAAGTGGTTGGGACAGTTAGAGGACACGTTGAGTAAGGCAGAGATGCCCATGCCGTCCAGCATGTCCTTTTTGGAGGCATGGAAGGCACTGCCAAGGTACAGGAAGGGAAGAATCTCCACTGGACCAGCCTGGAACATAGAGAAGACAAAGTTGACATTAATACAGAGCCAAGAGAGAATAGAGGCACATTTACAGTCAGAATGTCTCTTTCAAACATTACAAAGTAACAAAATTAAGAAGACTGGAGAAAGGGCCTAATTACAATCGACAATCAATAAATAAAAAAAGGTTCTGATAAATACAATTTACAGTATGCACTTTATTTGAATTATTTTAATATTAAGGTTGCAGCAATATGGTCTGAAATTGGGTCCTAAAATATAGGCCAATGACAACTCAAGAAGTTGATATACTGTATTTTCAGCCAGTTTATTGATTTGGGCCCTGTTATGGCATTGCTTCTATGGGCCCCGGCTTCAAACGGCAGAAATTATCGATAAGGCCTGCTTAAAACAGATAGTGAAGGAAGGCAGGGGCAATGTTGGTCACACATGCCTACCCTACCACCCCCTCCAGCAGTGAAAGAGATTTTAAAAAAGGAGGCACAGCTGGTGCTCTTATCGAGACGAAAAAGCAACGTTAGGCCTAAACCTAGATGACTCCCGAGTGGCGCAGTGGTCTAAGGCACTGCATCGCAGTGCTAGCTGTGCCACTAGAGATCCTGGTTTGAATCCAGGCTCTGTTGTAGCGGCCGCAACTGGGAGACCCATGGGGCGGCGTGCAATTGGCCCAGCGTCGTCCAGGGTAGGGGAGGGAATGGCCGGCAGGGATGTAGCTCAGTTGATAGAGCATGGCGTTTGCAACGCCAGGGTTGTGGGTTCGATTCCCACAGGGGGTATGAAAAATAATAATGTATGCACTAACTGTAAGTCGCTCTGGATAAGAGCGTCTGCTAAATGACTAAAATGTAAATGTAATGACTGGAATTTACGAGTCCCCTGGTATTTCACTCAATGTCACACATTCCGTCAAACTCGGTCACCGATATAAACAGGTCCCCTTCTTTACCTGGTCATGGTGCGACGTCTGTGGAGTTCCACAGGAAGAACATGAGTCCAAACTGGACTGGGTAGAGAACGAGGATAACGTTTTGGTCTTCAAACAGAACTCGGGATACTCCGTGAAAAATCTGTCGTAGCCCCCTGTGAAAAAAATATGAACGTTAGACATCAGGATATTTTAATCAAAGGCCCTTCTCAAGTCAAAATAGCCTAATAGCTCACCTTGTGCGTATATCATTTACAAATTAGCCTACCTAGCATAATACATATAGGTCATTTTTCTCTATAAAAGCCTAATTAAATATCTCTGAATATGTACATAAAACATTATAGAACAGCAATTATAATTGGGATTTCCATTGAATAAAAAAGGCTTATAATTTGGGTATGCCTAGTGGTTTTCACCTAAATTAAATGTGAAAATGGAAAAACCTAGTCGAATTTATGAGAAAAAATTGCATTTCCCCATATACTTACAATAATTTATTGAGAAATAGTGTATACTCTTGGGATTATCTGGCAACACTTCATGTTTCAATGTTCAATGCGTGTTCGTCATTTTGATCTCATAATGAGCAATTTGCAACAATAACCATTCTAAAATATATATATTTTTTAATTAATACATTTGCTGATGTGAAATCTTGAAGATTATCCAATTTTTGGGGCTCACAAGACACTCGCTGCAGCACATCCTCGTGCACCCAGACTTGGCTCTCTTCGCATTACCTCATTGTTAGCGCCTAGTGCCTGCTTGTGGGTTGAATTGTGCAGCAATACAAAATGGCACTATATGTACCATTTTAAACTGGTTAAAAAATAATTTTAATAATTCTAATAATAACATTGTAATAACACATTTGTCAGATATAATGAAAATTCTGTGCTATTGAAGGATTATTTATGCTTTTTATGTTATTTATGCTTGTAAACAATGTCATTGGGCATGTTTTTATTCTGATAACCTATTAAGTGCATTGTGATCATTTACCTTTTAGTATAAATATTTCAGTTCCAAATGTGTCTCTGTACACTGCATTTAGCACCAGAGTGATTGTGCTATCGTCTTTAACCGTGTCTATGTCGGGCGTCCTCTCGTCGTAGAGGATCACAGCGGAGTACAGTCCTGATTTCAGCCGGGATTTGACCTCTTCATCACCCGATAGAATCTGGTCTAAACTCACCGAGCCCTTCGCTCGCCTTCTCACAATGGTGTTACAGCGGATATTCACAGCGCTCCGAATGTGTCCAGCACTAAACGCCAAGAATGATCTGCAGTCCAGCACCAGGCATTTCGCACTGTCGTCCTTCAACAACCTTTTCAAAACGTTGCAATCCATTTCGCAAAGTTCATCCATAATAACCATATTTTCCTCCATAATGAAGATAATTCTGTTTTTCGTGTTGAAGAACACGAAGAGAGTGCAGGATGTGTCTTAATGCTGAGCAGTTCCTGCGCAATGTTGTGCTCTTATTCTCCTGAGAGCATTACTATCACGAGCAGTCACCTCTTTCCGTTTTATGAATGGGGCCTCTGCCGCCAGCCCCCATAAAAAGGGTGGTGGCGTCACGCTGGAGGTGACGTCACCCGCTAGTAAAATTCTCTCCTCTCTTTTCATTCATAAAAAGTCAACGATCGATGCCAACAGAATAGGAGGTTGCCGCTGCCAAAGCTCGAAAATGATGTTGACTCTCTTCTTAATGACAAAGTCAAATGCAAAATGCCATATTTCTTTTCCCAAGGCAAATCTTCTGTAACGATATTAGTAGGCTACCTTTCCTATTACTATTTTATATTCCTCCACAGGAAGATCAATTTGTCAAATGTTATGAATGTGTCATATGCCTATGTCATTCTTGATTGTAGATTCTGAGTAATATACCTTTGTGAATATGGTATGCTCCCCCTCCCCCACTCCCTTTCTCTCAATTGGGTGCCAGAGGGCCAGGATACCTCTCTTGTTTGCTCACATAGCCTTTACAGGATCCTGCAGGATATGGCCAATGATATTCCCTCCATACTGTCTTCATCCCATCAAACATCACAAACAAGCTATTTAATACCAGCAATTGATGGAATCATTTAAGCTTGGACAACTGTAGGCTACTGTTACTGTCCTCTGAGAATGTTTTAAAGAAATATAGGTGGCTTTATCCTTTCTTAGAATTTCTTAGAAAACTTGCATTATAGGCTTGCATCACTTATATGGATAAATTAACACATTTATTGTAGCCCACTGTAGAATAATATATTGCAGAGAATTTCTGAAACGTGTTTTTATCAACAGGATCAGAGTGTTGAAAGCAGGATATGCAGATTTCCCCAGTTTCAGGCAATCACTCGTTTCACTTTGCTGTTCCACGTCAGGCTTAACTGTCTTCTAGAACATTCACACATCATCAGTAGGCTATCCCTCACTTCCACTGTGAATTGTTAAGGTAATGCCAAGCTCCACAGAATGTTTTGAGATAATACAATGGTACCAATGTTTCACAGTTTATTTTTAGCTACAGTGGTTCATCATTGTTCATAACCTAAAACCCATTCTATATGAAGACCCTGCAATATGTAGGCTAATAATTCTAGTTCTTCGTAGACTGCTCCAGAGCCCACAAAATTGCAGCAAGCAAGTGTAGAGGATGTGCCTCAGTAATGGAGTGTTGTGCCAGAAACCCCATTGAGTGTTTTCAATTGGTTTTGTTTTGATAGCTTGCAGCATTGTTGCCCTCCCTATCAGTGAAAATCTCATTATAATCCAGCCAGATTTTTTTTTTTTACTGACACCATTATTAATGATGTTTCAGTTTATTGTCATGGTGGAAAATTGAATCCCTCTTTTCTCTCTTTTCTCTAAAAGTTATTTTTCTGTCAAACATCTACAGAGGTAGGATCTTAATTTGAGCCAGTTTGCTACAGCAGGACAATAATCCTGCAGCAACAGGACATTTTAATTATGGCGGATGTGGTGGATTGAGACACAGCCCATGCAAAAAAAACATATATCTATCTTAAACAGACAGATTTTGATGTGGATTTTTTTATTTGGTCATTCGATTTCTGCGGCAGCGCGGACATTGACTCTAGGGGGTTAATGGACATTTTTGTATTGGTTGATATATTTTCCATAAGGGAAAATCAAGTCTAAAATGTTAAAGTGGAAATTACAAACTTCAGAAGCCTTTTTAAACCTCAATACACTACAAGTTTCACATGTCCTGCATTGCAGGAAAGTTCTCCTGCAACAGGATGGTCAAATTAAGATTCTACATCTGTATTGGAGATCTGTCCTCCATGTCCACTCTACTGTCTCTCTCGGAGTGATTTTGATCAAGCTTTAGTAGCCAAGGTATTCACAGAGGAAGTCACGACTTTAGAAGAAGGAATCATTTTAGATTTCCTCAGATATAGCTGAAGTAATAGATGAAGGAACCACATTGAGTATCAACAGAGTGATTTCCTGATTGTTTGTTGTGGTGTCATTGTCAATAAAGTCTGATTAATGTTCAATGTCTCTGGAGAGTTTCAGTTCCTAATGCCCCAATCTCACTCAACAGTGTCATCATTACTGAGTCCTCAAATATGTCCAAGGCCACAATAACACTTCCAATTCAGGGAACATGTCATGTCATTCATCTTACAGAGGTTAGTGGTTCTCTCTCTATATATAGTATCCTGTAAAGTGTCATTTTCCCTTATAGACCGTGAGCTGCATAGCTATGAATGAACCAGGGGGCATCTCTTTCTCTCTCTCTCTCTCTGCATCATTTGCATAGTATGACATAAGGCCATTCAGAGCGCTTAGTTATTTGCATGCTGATTTAATCTCCATGGCTTCGGCTAGGTAGGGAGGAGATAGGGGCGGATGTGTTCATATAAACACTGACAGATAGACAGACAGAGGGACGTCCTGGGTTGCAGGGCACATAGGAGACGGCCAGACTGACGGCACTCTGCTACTATACAAAAGTCTAGATGTAGGATCTTAATTTGATCACTCTTTAGTTGAAGATAATTTTCCAGATGAGCTTCATGATTTAAATAAATTCACTGAAAACCCGCACTAACACAGGGTTATATTAACATAATTGCACTTTTCATGTAGCCTACTTTTGGCCAGCTAATACCCTAACCACCGATCAAGCTACATTGGGACTAAACGCTGCAGTATTATTTTGCTGTGACAATTTAGGTCAAATTAAGATTGTAGGTACAGTATCAGAAACGATGTCCATGTTACAGTAAGACAGCATACCTGAAGACAAATATTAAATAAGAATGAATTCTGATAGCTTCAACATTATTCTGTGAATTTCCTGTGAGTATCCTGAAGTATTTCATTCAAAGGGACTTTTAATGTAGTGTGAAGGGAAAGTGTCAGGCGGACTGGCAGTGTTGCATTGCGGTACCAGTTGAATAATGGATGGGAGGCCTTGAATGTTTCAGAGCAGAGAGGAAGAGAGAGAAAGGTGACAGGTGTTATGTGTGAGTGTGTGTATGTGTGTGTGTAGTAAGATGACATTCAGTGACTGAACACCCAGACCAGTGTGACAGCATGTGCACAGTGGACAGCAGTGTCGGAATGGAATGACATGTGTCCTGCTGTCACCATGGCTCCCAGTGCCACCCATGCATGCAGCAAGACAAAGCTTCAGCTCGCAGGGAGCTGCAATGAATCTCAGCCGCCATGACAACAAGGGAGTGGTGTATGAGGAGGGTGTAGCGAGAGCACTGCATGCGGCTGTCATTGGATGTGTGTGTGTGGCCCTATTCTGTACTGAGTGCTTGACGTCATTATACCCCCCCCCCCCCCCCCCCCCCCCCCAACCCGCCAGTCCCCATCACATCACACCCCTGGGGAGGCCGCCCAGGCAGGCACACAACATTGGCTGGGATCCCTCCCTCCACATCCTCCACATCCTCCCAAACACACACTACTCCCAAGTCAACCTTAATTTTACTCTTTCTCACACTCCTCGCTCCATCCCTCCCTCATTGGCATGATAAACATCCAGCCGTTTGCATGCCGGGTATGAGTCACTGGTTGAAGCCATGGGAATACATCCCACTCCGTTGCTCTCCTCTCCTCTCCTCTCCTCTCCTCTCCTCTCCTCTCCTCTCCTCTCCTCTCCTCTCCTCTCCTCTCCTCTCCTCTCCTCTCCTCTCCTCTCCTCTCCTCTCCTCTCCTCTCCTCTCCTCTCCTCTCCTCTCCTCTCCTCTCCTCTCCTCTCCTCTCTCCTCTGCTCTGCTCTCAGGGCAGCTGAATGTGTCTCCCTCCCTGACTCCTCCAGTATGTTTGTCTGCCTCAGTTCCTCCACTATCTCTCCTTCTCTCCCTCTCTCTTTTCTCTCTCTTTACCTCCTCCCTCTCTCAGGTTCATGGAATCCACCCTCATTTCCATTGCACAAATCTCACTTTACCCTGCACTCTAAATATTTTCTCCATAAACCCTTTTAATCCAGTATTTAAACTGAGAATGGTGTGTTTTTATGAATGCGTATGTGGTGTTTTGGTTTGTGTGTTTCTATATATCTCTATAGGACAGAAATAGAGATGGGTGGGCAGGTTGCAGACAGATGTAATTTGATCACCCTGTTGCAGGAGAACTTTCCTCTAATGCAGAAAATGTAAAACTTGTAGTGTGTTTGAGGTTTAAAAAGGCTTCTAAAGTTTGTAATTTCCACTTAGAAAGTTTAGACTCTATGTCCATTAACCCCATAGAGTCGATGTCCGTGCTTCCGCATAAATCTAATTAGCATAATACAAAAATCCCCATCAAAATCCATCTGTTTAAATTAGAGATATGTTTTTTTTGCATGGGCTGTGTCTCAATCTACCGCATCCACCATCATTCACATTTCCTGTTGCTGCAGGATTATTGTCCTGCTGTAGCAAACGCCACTTTTCAATTTCAGACTTGATTTTCCCTTACGAAAAATGTATCAACCCCGAACAAAAATGTCCATTAATTATAATCCACATAATAATTCAAATTTCCTGTTGCTGCAGGATTATGTACCTGTTGTAGCAAACAGATCCTACATCTGTATGTGTACTGTATGTTTTTGTCACACAGTTTGCCATTTGTCCCAGGCTTTAGATTAGATTGAAACGCCAGACAGCCTAATTTCTCCTGGGATTGCTGCACTGGGCTGAGGGAGCAGGGAGGCAGGGGTTGACTCTATGTTTGGATCGAGAACCATTCAAAAAGGGCAGACGGTCAATTCAACTAATCATCCTCAAGTGGAAATACCCCAGGGTTTTGTTTGGGTCATAGAGGGTTGCCCTCTCATCATGGCCAGATCTGTATTAGCCAGGGTTTTGAATTAACATTATTCACTACATCAGGTTATGGGAAAGGAGATACCTAGTCAGTTGCACAACTGAATGCATTCAACCGAAATGTGTCCTCCGCATTTAACCCAACCCCTCTGAATCAGAGAGGTGCCAGGGGCTTCCTTAATCGACATCCACATCATAAGCGCCCAGGGAGCAGTTGTTGTTGGGGGTT